GAACGGAGGATTCAGCAGGTAGGGTTCCATTGGAATTGTTGGTCCAAGGCTGATCTTTTCTGAATTGGTGTTGGGTAGTGGAATCCGGCTTAGCAGCAGGATGAGCAGCAGCGTTCGCATCTGGTATGTTATCATGCGCCCGAACAGATTTGACGGTATCTGGTTGTGTTTGGTCATGCACCGTGGCCCGACTTGAATGCCTCGACGATATAGTTGTTGTGTCAAGAGGCTCATGACCTTCCGGCACATCGACTGATGATCCCCTTGACAGGCCAGGCAAAGAAGGTAGTGCCTTGGCCTTGTTAGACGTTGGTGACTGAGGTGCTGGGCTTCTTGGTGAAACTGATATATCATCTGCATTAGTTGAAACACTCTGTACATTTTCATCGACTTTAGCCGAAGCTAGATTTGCTGATGGAACCACCCGCGTCGCATCCTTATTCTGTTCCAACCTAAGGGAAATAACTCGTGGTGTGTGGACATTTTCCCCTTCTGCGGTGTGTGATTGAACGTTCTGAACGACATTTTCATGGGTTGGCGCTATTGGTGATGGAAACTGCGAGGAACTGGAGAATTCATGACCAGTTGTACCAGTAGGTGGTGAATGGGACAATTCGGTATGCTCTTCAACCAGAGCTGATTTAGATGGTTGCTGAGGCTGCGATTCTCCGAGCCCTTTTACCGGAGCTGATAAAGTTGTTTTTAGAGAAAGCAATTCTCCATGCCCTCCAGTCAGATCGGATTTAGACAGTTGTGGAAGCGCTGATTCTCCGTCCTCTTCAACCGAAGCTCCTTTAGGTGTTTGCAAAGCCGGCGGTTCTCCGTGCCCTTCGACCGGAGCTGAGGCAGTGGTACGTGGAGATAGCGGATCCCCCCGTCGTTCATTCGAAGCCGGAGAACCTCCCCGCACATCAACCCGGGCCAATTTAGGCGTCCTGCCAGTCGACGAATCCCAACTCCTCCCCACCTCAATAATGCGCGAGCTAAATGCACGCAATTCGGATTGAATCACATTGGCCTTGCGACCAATGACTTGAATGGCACGAGCTTCCTCGACTGGCGGCCCGATGGAGCCGGAATCATCATCAGACACATTCGTGGATGAGCCTCTGCGGTCAGTTGATAGTCCCGCGGAAATGAGTAGATTTTGCCCATCAATAGAAGGGCTGAGTGGTTGGGGTTCTTGATAAGCATCTTCTCGGGTCTCTTCTCCGGCATCTTCTTGGAATTCTCCATGCGCCTCTTCATTCGCCGTTTCGCGTTTTATTTCTGGTGTTGACGGAGGCTTATTGCCAGTCTCCACGGGGGTATCGATTTTCAAATCATTATCGCTTTCCCGCGCCGTATAGGGATCCCTACCTGTAGACGTAGACTCCCACCCGCCCGTTTCACTACTAGCAGCATTGTGAACGGATTTCTGAGAGCGAGAGCCCGGAGGACTAGACGACACGTAAGAGACTCTTTTCCCAGATTCTGATAAAGTTTCACAATCAGGCCCCGCAATTTCTGTTTTGGGAGAGGAGGGAGATGCCCGAGGCGCTTCCCACGCAGTTCTCATATCACTAGAGAACGTCGAGGGATCTAGTTTGAGCGATAGTAATCTAGGGTTTAGTTTTGAGACTTGACCATCGGGGACGGTTCCTGCAACACTTTGCAGCCCGTCGAAGCTTGGAGTGGAGTTTGGCCTGGGCTGCGTTGGGGCTCCGTGGGCATTTACCTACAATCACGTAAAGGTATAAGATTAGATTCAGAGACCAAGAGTGGAAGGATGGAAAACGACAGATGGCTTTGAACACATTTGTCATACAATGACCGCGCGGATTGGCGGTCAAAACTATCGGATCCTCACTACAAGTTGATGATAGGTATGCAAAGTAGAGAAAACAGAAAAGTAGGCTCAAATTGATTGCGAGGGTGGAAAACTTAGCGCCCGAATGACGAAAAATAAAAGAGCAAGAAAATCCCTAATTGAACCTCCTGCGGATCACACTAAATCTCAAAAAATGAGATCAAGTATCTACCTTATCAGTGCTGCCACTGTTGTGTCGGAATTTGCTCCTCCCCTTTGCAAACAGACCCTTTGCCGCGCCACCGGCTTTCCCGCCAAGAACGCCAGCGCTGTGCAGTAGATCCTTGCCCTTGGCCTGCACTTGCTGGCTGTGCATTTTGGCAGCAAGCTGACTGCCAGACGCACGTCTTGTATGCCCCGGTGTCGTGGGTGACCCTTCCAGGTGGGAAGTCTGGAGGGAAATGCTACCAAGAGAGGAAAGTTTGGGGAACTTGTTCCGCGGGATTGTGTTCCTGTGTGTGAGTGTCGTTCCTGGAGGAAGTGTTCCGTTGCGTTGAACCAACCCAGCATGGTCCGGATGCGAGTCGGCTGTTGCCTGTATCCAGGCAGCGAGGCCAGTATCCATGCCAGCAAACTTCTCTCTTGTTTGCTGAAATGCTTTGACTTTCTCGGCAGTGGTAGTCATTGCCATAATTTGGCGGAATGTTGTTAATTTATGATCTTCCGCTCCTGGGGGCTGGGATGTCGTTTGCATAGGGGAGCTAGAAGGATCCCCGGATGCTAGATAAGTGGACGGAACATCATCGGACTGGGCGGACGAGGGGCCTTGTTCTGTGGAGATTTGGATCGGAGTTGTCTCACTGCCATTTGGATCATTTGGGCTATAATCAGGCTGTTGGTCAAAATCTCCGCTCCGCCGTTCTGAACCAGTTGGTGTGCTACTGTCCAAGGGGGATTGTGTAGACTTCTCAGAAGTAGCGGGATTTATTGACAATTTCTGAGATTCCTCATTACCATCAGCGGACGGCTCTTCCCAAGAAAAGCGTTTCTTCAACTTGGAAGCAGGCGATTGTTGATCGACAGGAGAAGACCCAGTTTCAGGGACAGGGAAACTTACGGCCACAGGAATTGTTTCCACCCCAGAAGAATTTGGGAAGATATCGGAATGAGACGCTGTATGCAGTTGTATGGGCTGAGTTATATCAGACGAGGTGTCCCCACTCTCGTTCCAAAAGCTTTCACATTTGCTTGGAATCAATGTGCTTTCGTGCTGGGTTTGGGCGTTAGCTTCTAAACTGGAGCCAGGAGCATTGGCCGACTGGACGTCCTCTTGAATAACCATTGAAGCCCTTGGGGTCAGGGACTGGATAATTTCATCCCGTAGCCGGTCATTGAAATCTTGGGAAGTGATCTCGGTGGCTGGAGGTGAAAGATTTTCTCGGGAAGGGGCAATAACAATGATCTCTGAGTTGCGCTTGTCTGTCGCCACGTTAAGAGCTGCTGGCATATGAGGATCATGGACCATAGGGCTTGATGGAGGAGGCGCCTCTGACAGTTCGATAACATCAGGCCTAGCGGACGAGAGATTTGAATAAGCGCTCTCAGTTCCAGATGAAGAAGTAGGTTGTGGGTTCTGTTCAGAAACCGCTGGCCAACTCTCTGGAACCGATGGTTGTGGTGTTGTAGTCGATTTGGGAGTGGAGGGATCGGATTTCGTTGGAGAAGCCAAGCAAGGCTCTAGCCCGCCACGGACACCGGCTGGAGAAGCTTCAGATGGGCCATCCGGTCCTTCGGACAAGTCGCCTAGTTGGGATTCAGCGGGATGAACATCGGATTCGACGACAGTTCTTCTAGCAGGTGCATATCCTGAATATGGTGGGGTCATGCTCCGCCTGTGACCTGGCTTAAATTCAGCAGGCTCTTCAGCAATGGTTGGGGTTTGGTCAGCGACTACCCCACGCCCATTTTCAAACACGGAAGAAGTATTTGGTTTGATTATTGGGCTAATAATAGAGGTACTCCCACTGTCTGATCTGAGGATACTTCCCGCCGGAGTACTTGGAGTTTGGGGAGGGGCGTCGAAGGCTTGATGGACCACAGAGCGGAATCCAATAGACGTGTTATGCTGTAAGGGAGAGGCATCCGATGCAGGTTGCTGTTCCTGGTTCTCTTGAATTCGTTGAACGTTTTCCTTGTCGTGAAGACCTGATGCACCCATAGGTGAATCTGGAAGCCCAGCCACAGGTTGTAGTCCAGGACGTGCTGTGGACGAATCCGGCTCCCTTATTGAAGCATTTTCTTCTGGAGATCCGGACTTGCTCTCTTGGGTATCTATGGGTAATTCACGGTTTTGGTCATGTACCTGCTGTGCGTTATGGTTTTGTGGCACTTTCTGCATTCTCGAAGCACCGTCCCTCTGGTCTGGTGTCACTGCAGCCTCTGGTGAGTCCCCAGAGGTATCATGGATAGGCTGTGGTTGGGGTTGGGAGGGAGAAATGCTCTGGTCTGCTTCCTTCTGCTCCAGCTCATGTTCATTTATTTTCTTTTGCTTTTCTTCCTGCATACGTTTATATATATCAGCAGGTCGAATGAACGGAAGCTGCTTTGAAGGCGGTTCTTGCTCGCCCGAATTCCCTAGCGTAGGTCTTTCGTCGCCTGTTTCCTGCCGATTTTCTTGTGTATTTTGAGGCAGCACTGCAGCCGCTTGGTTTGGTAGAGCAGGTATGGCGGGTTCAGGTTCATCGTCGTATTCATCACCACAATCGCCCCAATCATCACCGTCGTAAGAATAGGACTTTGCGTTTACCCAGCGTTTTGTTTTCTGGCGGTGAACATTGGTTTTGAATGAAGGACCTTGACCTGGAGGATGCTCTCCGGATGGGTTAGAGAATGGGCTGACACTTCCACCACTCCATTGCTATCGTTAGCTGTGCAGTTCGCAAGAGCAGTGTTTAGAGAATTTTGTTGGACAGGGGAGGGAAAAGGGGGGGAAAGGAACGTGAATTTACCTTCCACCAGGTCCGTGAGTGGGCTCATACCCCGACATGATAAACACACGCACTGAAATGACGAAAGGGTATCAAAAACGGATATAAGTCTGTCTTCAAGAACTAGCCTTCCTATGAAGAATCATGTATGAGGCTGACTAGTCCGAGTTTTTCATGAACCGGATTGGTGACGGAAAACTGTCTGTTGCTTCGTCAATAAAGGGATGGCTCCGCGAAGGAAGGATACGCAAGCAGCCAGCCAGGAATCGAGCACCAAGGGACCGCAAGCCAAAGTGCGATACTCAGTAGCGAAAGGGATGCGTAGGTTGCCGTGATCAATAAAGACAGACCACACAGTATGACAACATCAACAACAACAGCAGCAGCAGCAGCAAAGGAAGAAGAAAAGAAGCGGCAAAAGAGCAAATAGGTCTAACTATTACATACACAAGGGGAGTCGTAAGAAATGCAAAACAGAAGCCAAAGTAGACGAAGTTAATTTAACTACAGGGAAAGGAACTAACAACTGGACAGGAGAGAACTTGTTACAGCGGAGAATATTTGGGGAGGGGTTATTTTTATCCACGGCAGCAGCAACAGCAGCAGCAGCACCAACAGCGGCGCAGTGGTGCAGTCCAGCAGCGAGTGCATCAGCGAAGGTCTTGGGTGTCCGGGATAGAATGATAACCTTGAAATGTCTCCGCCGCGTCAGCACAGCTCCAGCAACTCGCGCTGGATTTGCTGGCGAGAGCCTTTGATTACTCACCACCGCTGTCACGTTACCACGGCGGTCGGGGTTACACGGGATCCGGCGCCAGGATTCAATCTTATGCTCCAGCTAGGCCTATATTTAGCTGGCTCCAAAGGAAATGATGATACGGCTTGGCGGCAGGGGCTAGAGGCAGATCCCAGCCACTCCGCGACGCCGTATTTTCGCGGTACAGACCAGACAGGTAACTAACTAATTTGAAAAAACCATCCACCGGATACCAACTAGTATCATTAGCACGTGATGTTGTAAGGAGCTCGGAGAAGCTATTAATCCTGAATAACACGTGACAAGAACTCCTTGCCAGTTACGCTGAGCCGCATCCCGAAAAGGACTGCAAGAGGTGTCAACAACCAGGTGCTTGATATATCCATAGATATATAATCTTAGATATATCTTATCTCCAAAAAGACCAGGTACTGTATAAAACAACTCATTTAGCACACATCATCATCACCACTGCCTGTCGGAAGAAGTGACAACCGCCGATCCGTCCCCTGAATAACGACGATATCACACCCTATCCAAGCTAAGTTACCTGGAACCGAGTGACGTTTATTTTGGCGTAAACCCCTTCATTGGAAACGTCCCAAAGCAGGTCGATAGTTCGACTTCGCCCTCCTTATCCCCACCTAGCTTCCTCTTCCCTCATATTTCCCGGATGTGAGGGGTGCGCATTCGCCCCTCCACCCTCCGCAAAGTTAAGAGAGTCGTGTCCTGCCTCGAAGTCCTCCGTCGAACCTAACTACACACCCCTTTACCTTGTTACCAATCACCCACAATGGCAGTTTCGACATCAGTCCAGGATCGGACTCCCGAGTTCCAGACTATCCTCTCACAGGCCCAGAAACGCCTTGCTTCTTCAAAAGCTAGTGCACACCGGCAAACTTTACTATCAGATGTCCAACGTAAAGATGCAAGTGGATCTCCAAACGGAACAGCGGCAGGGAAAAGAGTCGCCAGGTCGGAATTCGCAAGAAGAGCAGCTGAAATTGGAAGAGGAATTACAGGGACGATGGTAAAGCTGCAAAGGTTAGCTATGTGTAAGTTGACTCGCGAACGGAGTATTCCTGGCGGGCGTTTCTGAAATATCAGGCAGGGTGAAAATATAAAAATATTTTAGTAGAAGTCGATCGACTGATTTGATATCCTGATAGTGGCCAAGCGCAAAACCCTCTTCGATGACCGACCAGTTGAAATCTCGGAACTCACATATGTCATCAAGCAAGATCTTGCATCTCTAAATTCCCAAATCGCTTCTCTACAGTCTCTCACACTCGCCCAACATCCGAAATCGTCGCGAAGTAAAACCGATCAGGAAGGGGAGCATAACGACAACGTATGTTGTCTAGTCCTTTCATCATTTCCCCATATTATATAATATATAATGCATGGTGGCTAAATTCTATACCCAAGGTTGTGGTTATGCTCCAAGGCAAACTAGCCGACGTTGGGGCAAACTTCAAAGAAGTCCTCGAAGTCAGAACCCAAAACATCCGTGCCTCACGATCAAGAACAGAAAACTTCGTCTCCTCCGTCTCTTCCAAGTCGCAATCAGCACTAGATCCCCAACGCTCAGATTCCCCACTCTACAATGCCCCGAGAACTCGAAGCCCACAACCGGGCGCCTTTCAATCCAATTCCTCTGACCTCCTGAGCCTCGAACCATCGTCGTCTTCCACCCCCTTTAGTCGGGGAGGAATATCCTCAGACCGACAGATGCTAATGATGGAAGAGGCACAGTCTTCCAACTCATACATCCAAGCACGCGGGGAAGCCATAGAAGCCATTGAGCGCACGATTAACGAGCTAGGTGGGATTTTCGGGCAGTTGGCGACGATGGTCAGCGAGCAATCGGACATGATCCAGCGGATCGATGCCAATACGGAGGACGTGGTGGATAACGTCCAAGGGGCACACAGGGAACTGTTGAAGTACTGGTCTCGCGTTTCAGGAAATCGATGGCTGGTAGCTAAAATGTTTGGCGTTTTGATGGTATGCATCACTGACCACGACTTTTATCTTCACCCGTTAGCCCCCTGGTGTTTTTGCGCACCGGGCCCCTTGCTATATTTCAAGAACACCTATCATTTAAAAACTTGGGCATGTGCTAACATGAACCTCCAGATATTCTTCCTTCTATGGGTTCTAATATCGGGCTAGCGCGGTCTACTTCATAATGTATATTATTAGATTTCCTTGCGGTACGGTGCGTTATGGGTGTCTTTATTTAAAGCTCTATTTACCGGGGGTTTCTTTTTTCTTCCCCCCCCCCCCTCCCTTTTCTTTTCTTTTTTTTTTTTTTTCTTGCGCACCTTAGGCGTCAAGGTTTTGGGTTTTGCTCCTGGTTGACCCTTTAGCATTGTCGACGCATATATTCCTAATTCCTTTTGAAGACTTCTAAAAGATCAAAAGACTATTTTTTCCTTTCATTTTCACTTTTCTTCTTTTTTTTTTTTTACTACGAGTCTATATATTTAATTTGCCCAACCTATTATCAATGATCTTCGTTCAACACTATCACTGTGCTCTTGTCCGATGACTATAGAGCAGGATTTCATGGAAATGAAATGCCCAGCGGCAGGACACAAAGAGAAGCTGGGGAATAGATAAGTGGATAGTTACAAATGTCCTTCCTTGGGCTGCGTTCATGATTTCCCTGCGCCTCGGACGTCAGAGGAAGAAGGCATACTTGTGTCCTCTGACATGCTTCAGGAATGAAGGTGAGTCTACGCTACGCTGTTGATCTCTGCTGCTGATTAAACCAGCTGAATCTTGTGATGGTTTATAGTCCTATTATACCAGCGTCGCGCCGTGGTGACCGATGATTTTCACGGCAGCCAAATTGGATGAACTGGACTGGACTTTCTAAGTTTCTATGTTCGACACCCAGAAGTCGTCAAGGTTACAATATCTTGGAAAACTCGCTCAACACTTCCCGAAACCATCCCGAGTCTGGTACCTATACACCAATATCTGCAAAAGGATATTCAGCCGAAGGGTTCTTCTGTCGGTCAATCCAGACAAGGCACTGCCCATCGGTGGGTTGCACGGCACAGCGGCCATCAACAGCCTCCCGCCTGTGGAGGGGGGAGCAGCGGGAAGGTGAGATAGCCTACCGCCCAAAGAAGCAAACACGGTATCAAGGCTCCAACATATCTGATATGGGCTGGCCAGATCATATCACTATACAACTATGAGGTTTCCCGGAGTTTCTGATACGTATACTATCAACGGAAGTAGGCGTCAGGAAAATTGGTTTACGGACAAAACTTCAAAAGGACTGTTGGTACGGCATGTTCAGAGGCGTACCTGGATTGTGCCTTGGGCTGCGCGTATAACATATGACCCAAGAGCTAACGTATTTTCAACCGTCTACTTTTGGAGGATGCAAAATGGAGGTAGCAGATGTGGGAGCGAACGATGGCACTCCCTCCTCCAATCTGATGTGATATTGCAACAGACATTGCAGCGTTCTCTCGGAATCATATATTCTCTTCCTGGTGACAAAATTAGTGGATGGAATAAAATTCAGGAGTAAACATCTACGTATGCCATATCCGAGTTTCAGGTGCCAAAGGAACGGCAGATCAACCTGCATCAGTACAACTGCGCTCCAGTCCAGACTTTAGTCCTGATGATCTTGGAACCATAAATCGCAAGACGCGAACAAAATCCGCACTAAAATATGACACGACAACCATGCTTGAAACACCACAGAATCATATTAGGGGAGACATTCGAGATCCACTCGATATAGTGAAATAGCCCTTAATAACTTGTTACCTGATTTTGCTGACGAAATCGTTGCTGACGGGTTCGACTCTATGGCTGATATACGCTGATAGGTACGCAACTGTTGACGTATCCGAGGGACAAACAAAACGTGTATTTATGAATGACAAGAGATGGAGTGCTCGTTTTGAGTGTCGTCCTTTTCAACACAGGCCTTGATGTATCATCAGTTAAGCATGGCGCATTGCAATGGTCAGCGAGCTAAGTGAACTCGATATGTATTCCAGATAATGACAGGTACATAGCTATCCTCTTCCTGTTTTATGGACTCAAAACGAGCTTTGAGAATAAGTCGCTTGGCGGGATCAATCGAAGTTGCTCTTGGGATACGCTTCATCCTGAGCGTTTGGCGCATTTCCTCGTATTTCGTATGGCGTATTTCGCCTGGTTAGTTAACGAGCATGACGAGTTAAAATGATGCGGGGTGATACCCCTTGTTTGTTTAACAACCATCCATTAATCCATGGGTCGCATCAAAGATTGAAAGATGCTTGCCTTTAGGATGAATACACGTTGGAGACATAGCCTCCAAAACTTTTCTTGAGAGTCTACACTGGCATTTGCCTCCTCGAAATCATGGATGACTCCTCACGTCCCAAATATGTCAGCTTGGTGAGGCGTTATGCTCTCTTCGTCGTATCCGAAGCTTTTGCCTAAACGATGTCCTTCCCGATACGATACGGCTAGGTACACCGACCTAATGGACTGGATATCAGAATGCATCATCGTCTATTGCTTCATAACTTCAATTCCTTTTCGAGATGGGGGAGGATATATATACCTCTCGGCATATAGCAGCCATGGCGAAATCATTCAGTATCAATTGCCTCTCTCCACAGAGCATTCACTTTAGTTTTCTTCTCGTTCGATCTATCAATTCTCAGCCATGCCACTGGCGTAAGGCTCTCTATCTACTCTGCTATTCAGACGAATACTTATCACCTTTCTTGGGATTTATTTAATTGGCAATTTTCGAAATGAATAAGCCGGGTACTGGTATACGTGCCAATTGACTCTGGAGGAGAAATATGTCCTCCTATTCCAGAACAATTTTACTAACCGTCAGTCACAGAGGGTTTCAGCTACTTCCAGTACAAGCCGGTGAAAGGAGTCCCCACTATTTTTGCCGTTATTTGGTTTATTTCAGGAGGCCTACACCTATGGCAAAACAACATGTATGAAACCGGCTACGCACTCTCTCTATGACGAGAATACTGGATATTCTGACTTGATTGTATAGGAAATATAAGACGTGGCGGATGGGCTTTTTACTGCCATGGACCTGCGTGGTCTTTGCTATTGGCTATGTCCTTCGTGAAGTGGCGGCTCACGGTCACTACGGGAATCTTGATCTCTTTATCTCCACAACGGTTTTCCTATTTTGCGCTCCGTGAGTCGATTGCGTCGTCAATTGCCTTTAATTCTATCGACGAATAGTTTATGGGCGAGAATGTTGTTCTAACACAGAGCAAATGGATTCTATAGCCCTATATACCTCGCCATCATCTCAATTATCTTCGGTCGTTTACTGTACTACGTCCCCTGGCTGTCACCCATTCATCCAGGACGTGTGATGTCAACCTTCCTTGGATTAGATCTTGTAGTGGAAACCCTGGCCTCCTCCGGGGCACCCCTGGCGACAAATTATGGGAATTCAAAAACGAAGGTACATATCGGCAACATCATGATCAAGGCGTCGATTATCCTGCAAATCCCAATCTTTATCTCCTTTTTCGTCCTTGTCGCCTTTTTCCACCGCCGTTTACACAGAGCCGACATCCGCGATTCAAAAATACGAAAAGTCCTGATAAACCTCTACTTGGCTTGTTTCTTAGTGACGGTTCGGAATGTGTTTCGCACTTTTGATACTTTTGCAGGATGGGGATCTGCGATGGGTCGTGTCGAAGCTTATTTCTGGTGCTTCGACGGTGTACCCATGCTAATCGTTACCGCCATGATGAACGTGTATCCTCCTGCCAGTTGCCTTCCGCGGTCACATGTGACCTATCTGGCCCGGGATGGGAAAACAGAGCTCAGTGGACCCGGTTGGATTGATGATAGACCCTTTCTGGTGACAATCTTTGACCCGTTTGATATTGCAGGGTCGATAAAGGGGAGGGACAAGAAGACTGCCTTCTGGGAGGAAGATGGGGTTTTGCTAAACGAGCGACCGAAAACACAGCAATCCTCGAGTTGAACTTTCGCGAGTCCTTGCGCGGGCATGGATATAGGACATTCACATGTCTTGTTGCCTAAACTTATTCCTCTCTCTCTCCCCCCCCCCCCCTTTTTTTTTTTTTTTTTTTTTTTTTTTGTTAATCCTTCGGTAACATATTCTTCAGGCAAGACGTCGGCTGGAAAAAATAACGTGATTCCGCAACCTCTACAAGAATAGCCAATTCTTTTTGTTCATCACTTTTCTAACTAAAGTTACAGAGGATTTTCGTGGGAACCCCTTTTTAAAAGGTAAACTGGTGCTCTAGGAGCCAGTAAAAAAGAGGTCAAAACGCGCGGGTATTAAGTAGAAGGAGAAAAATCGATAGCGTTTCCCTTTGGTCCTCCCCACGCACAAAATAAACTTCCCCGTCTGCTCCCTTGTATCCAAATTCATCAGATTTTCGAAAAAACATACATGAATGTTGGAGAAGTGCAATCATGGTTTTCCGCGGCATTGATACCCACGGAAGATGTAAATCAAGCGAAAGACTTGCAATTAACAATTTTTGGACAAAGAAAAAAGCAATAGAAACATTGAGAAACATTTATCGGCTGCATATTTGGTTGCAGCAGCAGCCGCGGTAGCTTCTTGCAGGTTTGCTTTTTCAACTCAGGCCATGAAAATATTATCAAAGGGAAAGGTTTTGTCTAGACTATGCAGATACCAACCCAGTTTACTTCATGAATGTCGGGAAACCAATCCATGGATAAGGGCATATAGCGGGATGGACCATTTATCCGGCTCCACCCCGGAATCTGAGATTGAAGGGACCCGTTGAACGTCAGGGGTCTCTGACTTAAGCCCCTGTGTCGGGAGAATTGGGACCTTGAACAACTAGACCCCGATGAACACTGCATCGCTTTCTTTTGTCACATTTTGATCCCCGTCGGATATCCAAACAAGAGACGGTATTTTTGGCAAAGGATATCCTGCCGACTCGATGGAATCTATATCACCATTTGTTTTGATATTTTGACTTCAGGAAACGGTTGAATTTTTGGAAGATGATTAAGCTCTTCCCGCTGGAGGAAATATGTGAAAACGAAGGTGATTGGCTGCTCCTATAAATTATGGGGCAAGGGTGGCTGGTTTGACTCGGCCACCCTTCAGCCTTCGCAGCACTGTGCATGGAATCAAGGACGCTAACTTCTGGGAATGCAAGCATTAAGTTATACCGCTGCAAGAGCCGTGGCCGTTGTTCATTAAAAAAAAAAAAAAAAAAAAAAAAGGAAGGAAAAAAAGAAGGGTCTCGACATCGCGATGGAAATGAGGAACAATCTAGACCCTGCGTGGTGGGTGTTTCGGAGTAGCAGATGGGTCAAGGGACCGCGGAATGACCCAAGGGTTCATTTCAACCGGCAGGAAAAAGCCTGTCATATGACATGTTGTAAACTTAACCATCAGTAGTTACAAGCAAGATGCGAAAACACTAATGCAATTTGGGCGACCTGAAAAGTCCGTCGAAATTGTTGAAGGATCCCTGGAAATGATAAGTTGCCAAATGTTGGTAGTCTCAAAGAACAGAAACATTCTCTGTGTTTGCTTGAATAGTTAGTTACACATTTGTTATCCATTTGCTTCGCGCTCAACAGCATGGGCATCCAACACAGTAGCACCTCACTTTGCCCATCTGGAGAAATATGCGATCTCGCCTGCGCGTGCTGGATTCGCCCTGTCGAGTCGAAGTGCTTAACACCCTCTAGAGATAGAACATATATCTCTAGTGAGTCGATGACGAAGGAATGAGGTTGGCCTCAGCGCACCACGGGTGTGAAACTTGGAATGATCGATGGGAAACGTGTGGAGACGTGTGGGAAGCCGCTGTAGCATGTGGTACAGTGGAGAAATTTTTTGACGAAGGGAGGGAGGGAGGGAGGAGGGGAATCATTAACGAAAGAAAGAAAGAGGAAAAAGAATTGCCATCTCTCGACATGAAGTTGGTAACCCCTTGCAGACGATTGACGTAGTCAATCTGCTCGACCCCATCGAATTTAAGAACTGGTCCATTTTGGCTGAAGAAGTGGTAGTACACCAATCAGCCCTTCTGGGCTGCCTCAAAACGAATAGATCGGGATCTCAGTGTCAGTTGGAAATTTCGGGAGCTTGACACCTGAGCAAGGGAGGAGGGATATGCGCATGGTTAGAGCTCCGCAATGCTGTGAGCCTAGCAAGGCGATTTTGTCAACATAGACTGTTGTTATATAGACCAGCCCGAAAAGATCGTCGCATAACCAAAGCAATGACCGAAACTGTAATCCCACCACGTGCCACCTTAATAACTTTCGATGCCACATGGCTTTTTGATGGGAGTTAACAGCCTCGTTCTTGGATGCCCTTAAATATTTTAGGACAGGCTTTGGTTATTAACTCTGTTAGTTACTGAGAAGCAGCTTTCAAAGCGAATCAGATACTTGGCGGAGAAATATTGCTGGCCGATTCAAGCAGTTACTTAATAGTTAAGTAACTAAGTAGTTAACTGGTTATCTAGTTATGGTTAATTAACTAGTTAACTAGTTAACCGTTGATCGGCTTATTTATGTCATCGCCGCCTCCATGTCGTTGGATGTTTCGATATCAATTAATCAATTAAATCAAGCAAGCATCCCTGCCCTGAGAAGGGAGTGGTAGTTAACACCCATATCCTGCACCTGAAAGAGGGAAAATAGGGTCTTTAGGGAAATTCAACTGATCGCATATCGCATATATATAATGTCATCTCCGGAGCCAGAATTGATATTGGAACGAAGTATTGTTGGAACAATCACCGGTGAGCTGAGCTCCGTGCCGAATAAACTTGTTCGAATAACACAGGGTTGCAACCAAACATGAACCTGTTTTTCAACCTCGAGGAAGGGCAATTTTAGTGTTCGAGTCAGTTACCCAGCTGACGTTGTGGAGGCCAAATTTCTTAGAATAGGCATCCGTGGCATGATTTGTAACTTTCATGGTCGGATCTCTTTTTTGGCTTTGGTACCTACACTTCCTGTTTCCTCATGGATTTGAATTAGTTATTATTTCGGTGTTTAGTTAACTACACAGTTTTTCACAGTAAAAACAAAGAGGAATTACACTATAAATAGCCTGCGATATTTCTCTCGTTGGCAACTTTGCAGTTTGGTTACACTACAGGAAACTGGCTTGCCGAACCGCTGTCGAAGCCGGTTGAATCAGTCGAATATTTAGTTAGGGAAGTTTGATGATCTTAAAATTACCATGGTCAGTTACAGCAAGAGTTAACGAATTCCATCAACATCCTGAACAATACAGCTTAACTTCAGGCTTGCGAGATGTTCCTGAGATATTGCGGCATTCTGAACTTCAGAAATGAAGTATTTTTCATTAAAACATAGTTATACTGTACCTAGTTAATGGTTAGCTTAGTTACTTTCTCGGAGATAATACATGATAATATTAAAGATCATCGATAAGAAAAAATACGAGGTTACCCTGGACCGAGTGTTAGACTCCTCATCAAAAATAAGCTTAACTGAAGCCGTGCCTAAGGATTCCTTCCAGGGTAAATCTGAAAGCTCCCTTTCTCTTCCTGACCTTGTAATGATCATATTGATATTTTTCTTTCAAGGCGCACACACATGGCTCACTACGGGAGAATGAAAGGTGAGACGCAGCTATTACCATCAAGATGGTTGTCCTCGACGCTAGAACCCGAACCCAACTGCGTGCACAGTGCTGAGTCCTGAAAATCGCACTTCTGTCTCCCAGTCAGGCGGAACCAGGGAATTCCAAGGTTCGCCCCTGATGGTTGTAAGTACTCTCAGAGTCTCTCCCCCAAGAGATGCTAGCTGTCATAATTATTGTCAACTCAACCGAAGAACCATTTGTCTCCTCTCTCTTGGTAGTTGGCTGGTTGAGATTTGGCATCAGTTCACTAATGTTGATTAGCAAATGGTGTTGCAGGATCTTGGATTGAGTTCCCCCCTCGGCCCACTAATGGCGTATTTTAACAAAGGGAAATATGATGCTGATGATAATGATTAAATGATGGTGAGATATTTTACTTATTTCTCTTTTAATTTCTTTGCTTTGGGATACAGGATACATGGATACTGGCTTCGGACGACAGAAAGATCCTTTGCGCTTGTGTTTGGAAGATATGGAAGTAAGCACCGCAAAATAACACTGGAACAAGGCTGTTCGCAAGCCCCAATTTGCAGCCCCTGTGGAAGCCTAGGGATTGGAACGGGACCCAATCGCCGTGATGTATATATAGGACGAGACGGGCAGAGACATTCAGAAGTTTCCGCTCCTTATTTCTCGATGCAAGCCAACCGTGATAGAGAAACGATATGACAATTGTAGCAACAGCGTTGCTATCTACTCCGAATATCAACTTGACGTTGGAGTTCATCACGGGAACGGAACAACCATAAGATACGTAATTTATCTTTATATATGGGTGGAGAATAATCGGTCAAACGGGTACAAGGAAGCAGGGAAATACCAGAGTCCTAACCAACCAGGGCCTTGGTTGTTTTGTTTGCCCTGGTCCGGGCAGATGGTTTCATGGTTGTATGTGAAAATACCTGTACCATACCTGAAAAGTTACCGCAGACTCTGCTGTGGACACGCCGCTCGTGGCCGTATGCGACCGTATGCGTCCTTTTACAAACAGGGTATTCTCCGCTCAAAGCCTTGTTTTTGTCTCCGCCCGCCTTTCGGGCTGGGATGTTTTGTCATCTTTCCCTCTCCCTCTTCCCTCATCTCAACCTAATCCCGACTTCAATTAAATTTCATCCCTTCATCCTTCCACCCATCCGCTCCCTTTTTGTTCTCCGTCTTCCCCAGCCATCGCTAGTTTGGGTAAGCTCCTTTACCGCGTCTCTGGAGCATTGGTCCGTTGACCCTCAGTTTTGGTGGTGTCCGACCACCCTCTCTCTTCCTCTCCTTCCCGCCAATGTTACGTCTTTCCTATCGGGACTGCCGCTCTCAGGCTTCCGCTGTTGGATGATTGATTCGTTGTCGGTGTTTTCTCGCTGCAATACGTTCGACCTCCAGCCATCCATCCGTCTCTTTAAACCCGTCCTCAATGGTCCCCAAATATCTCCATCCCCACCCAGACTCCAGTATCGCCCACCTCCGCGCCGCGCTGCGCAATCGACGGCAATAATCAAAAGACAAAGGGGTACCGCAAATTTTCTCTTTTTCCGCGATCCCCACTGGACCTGGCGACATCATGATGTTACGGCCAGCCACTCCGCTTTCGGTTCTGCTCCTCACTGCGTTCGTTCTATTGCTGCTCTCGGTGTTGTCAACACCCGTTGTCAAGTCAATCCCCCTCGCTGGCGTTGGTAATATCAAATTTGGGATTTTTGGGTATTGCGTGGGCAATAATTGTACGCCCATCCGCGTGGGGTATTCTTCAAGTAAGTTTTTGGGGCGGTATTGCGCTTTTTCTACGCTAGCCTGCTTCAACACGGGAATTGGAGGGGAGAGGACATCAAGGAGTTGATATATGGACCGAGTAGTTTGAGATTGAACTGATACTGATATACCACTTTGTCCTGTAGATGGCCCATTTGGCGATTTCTCCCGAGATTCCGACTTCAGCCTCCCGTCAAGCGTCCGCCACTCATTATCTTCCCTCCTGATCGTTCACCCAGTTGCTGCATTCCTCACCCTCACTTGCTTCGGGTTGGCGGCTGCAGCCCATTTCCACTCCCCATCTCATTCACCTCGATATCTTCTTGGACTCCTCATCCTTCTACTCCCTACGCTGCTGGTATCACTGCTTGCATTCCTCGTTGATATACTCCTGTTTGTTCCTCATCTAGAATGGGGTGGATGGATTGTTCTCGCTGCAACTATAATGATTACGGCAAGTGGAGTACTCACTTGTGCTATGCGACGGACCCTCGTGAGCCGAAAAGCTAGGAAACGACGGATTGCAGAAAATGCAGAAATGAGCGGAGAAAACTTTTATAACCGTCAAAATGCTGTAAAACTGGACCCTCCTGCTCCAGTAAAGGACCAAACTGGGATTGCCTTTAGTAACAGCACTTCCCCAGACTCTCTCCCAACGTTTGCTCTCTTTGAAGCCAGTTCAAGATCACCCGATGATGACCGGCAGCCTTTGAACTCTGTCACCCCAAGCAGCGTAACCCCAGATGGCTCCTTCAACTTCCGTTCTCTAGATAATAGACGTAACCTCGCTGGACATGAAAGCCGGCCGTACAACTCTCCCGTGGACGAATATGGCAATATCCTTCCACCTGGAGATGCAGCTTCTGGACCACCCTATTTGCGAGGACCCAGACCAGATACTAGACCGAGAAATCAATTTTCGAACAGTAGTATGGGGTTCCAACGGGGCCGTGGGCCTAGCTATGGTCCCCCACGCGGGAGGGGAGGATACTCAATGCGAGGTCGAGGAAGTCCGTACAATGGCCTGAGTAATGGTCCGAGAAGACCATTTCCCCATGGAGGCTATGGTATGGGCAGCAGAGGTGGACCAATGGGCTCGGGAATGATGGGTCGGGGCCGAGGACCGCCTCCAGGTTACCCACCAGCTATGCCCGGAGACGGATACAGCCCATACGGGCCCGGCCTTACCAACCAGGATGGATATGGAAACATGGGCGGTCGTGTCGACTGCTCTCACGGTGGCCCACGGGGCCCATCCCCTGTGCCACCCGGGTCTACTTCTAGCATTGAGATGAAACCTGCGTTGAGCAATGTTCCTGTATCTGGCCCAGGACGTGAGCCTCAAACTTTGGCTGATGATTCTGGGGCTCGCGGGGTGGTTGGATTCCAACCAGATGAACACACTAACTTGCACAATCCTCAAAATCCAGATAGCATGTACAGCGAACAAGAGTGAGTGAATTAAGCTTCTGAAATCTTGTATCGTCGTTTCGCAGCTAACCTGGTATAGGGTCTATGTCCCACCGCGAGCGGCTTGGGAGGAATCCTTCCGGGAGCCAACCCTCCCAGTAATTGAACCAAATAAATCTTCGAGCCCGCACACTGGGCGAAGACCAAGCTCAGCAGGTCCGGATATTGATTTAAGAGACAACACGCAATCCCCAATCGCCCGCTCCAACTCAAGGGACAACTACTATGAAGATTTGGATCCTCGTTTTGCGGAGCCAGTGGAGTTGCCGCAGGTACTAACCCCTGGCCAACCTGGTGAGCTCCAGCCGCGTACTTCCTTCGATGATATGACTGAGGGCGCTCGCTCACCTGCTGCCAGCGAAACCAGCCACTTCACCTCCATTTCCCAGCGCGGGGTAAACCCCAAGTGGAGCCCTGCGGAGGTGGAGAGTAGAAACGAGAAACAAAGGCGGCAGGATATGCTACTGGGCAATAATCCTGACTTCGAACTTCCAGTTGGCAGAGGCCGTGGCGGTGCAGCAAGTAGAAGGATGCCAGCGGCACAGATTCTGCCGCCTGTGCCAAGCATGCCGTCGATGCCCTCGACCGTGCCCAATGACGGGGGTAGATATCCTCCACCCCAGTGACATAAATTTCTTTCCTATTTCTTTTCATCTAATATGGTTTTTCGATTGTCTATTCTGGCGTTTTGCATTGGTTTTTGTTTCCTTTTCCTTTCCCCTTTTCTCGATACCCAAGGCAAGTCCTTTCGTACCGCCTGGTCACTTTTGACTTCTAAAACATTCGAGCCGCCCTTTGGGTGACCGTGTCACGGAACATATGAGTTTTCTACCTGGGACATATTTTTTTCCACATGGGTCATGTCCCACTTTGTTTTTCTCTCCCCGGCGGCATACGACATTTCCCCCCTGCTCTCCCTTTGACCCTCCTAATTTCGTGGACAACCCCTTTTCCTTTCTTTTTTTCTCTTCTTACTCTTGTAATGTACTGTAAATTTGCTTGCTTCACTCTCACAGACTCTAATGTTGTCTGGTTCTGTATATCTTAACATTGGGATACGTTCATCACACGTTCCATATTTCTGTACGATTCTTTTCCCTCTTAACTTTTTTGCGCCCTATCTCTTATTCCGGCACTCTGCTATTTCGCGAAAGCACCACCAAGGCCAAATCGCATTATAATGTCCTTTGCTTCGTATTTCACATTGCTGTATTCTGCTTTCATCTTCTTTTGCCTTGAACAAACGGCACTGGTGCATAATGGATGGATGACTTTTGATTCCATTAGCTGTAACTTAATTACTCTTCTTTCCTTCTTCCTTTTATTCCCTTCTTTGAAATTCCTGGGCACACTAGGCTGGATGTCCATAGGTGCAAAATTTACCCTTTGCACACTGGTTGTGGCTAAACAATAATGAATAACTAAACTCATGGTTAATATTTGGAATTTCTCTGTTTTCTAATTCATCTTGACCGGAACCTTCTCTATGATAATTGTAGGCGCTTGAGCGCAAGCTGGGCTGGTATAGCTTAGAAATGAAAAGATTCATTAAGTGACATCTCGTTGGTTCCATAAGGGACTTGTCTTTATTTTGTATTGAAGCAAGCGTCCATACCCTTTTGCTGTTATACCCAGGCAGAACTCATCCTGGATATTAGTTAACTACCCTTGAAGATCACTTACCTTTGGTTAAGCTTTCGCGCGCTATTAAATCAACTGCCAGTGCTGTCTATCAAGGACATAAAACTTCTTCGAGTTCGTAAGGAGTAATAGTTTTGCTCATTGATATTCTTTCATTGTTTCAAACTTCTATTATCTCTTTTTGGCCTTCCTGCATTTTAGTAGTTATTCGTTCGCTTTCCTGCACGCAAGATTGCATAGTTAGGTCAATTGTTCCAGCATTGTCTACTAGGACTACCAGTGGGCATTCCAACAGCCGATGGTATCGAAGATATATTTTCAGAGAGGATCAGTTGAAGCTGGGAGTGATGAAAGTCTTTACCTTATGGCAGTTAGTAGCATAGGGACCACGCCGCTTTATGTGGAGGAAAACTCGTTTGATGAAACTTCACTGTCTCCAATGCATACCGCGCAGCCCAATCATGCTGACCATAGAATTAGGTTGTTACAAAAATTCTGCGGGAAATGGCTGAAGAGTCACCAAATCGACGGGGCGTGGATTTTAATGCGTTCAATCTTACAAACGAAAGTATTGACCAAGGTCAAAAATGGGCTCTGAATATGAGACTTCAATTGCTTGGTAGGGAAGTGGCTGAAAGATTCCACGGTGTTAGGGAGCTTGGGTTGAAGGTATTTGGTAGTTCCAGAAAGGCTCATTGACTATCGTCGATGTGAATTGCCCATTTGTTGATGAGAACGATGCCTGCTCGCCATTCACTACCTGCTTGAGCATTTTCATGGAGCAGCGTAAGGTGGTCGTGTTGTTGCGTTGGATGAAGCACACAAGGTATTTCTTTTTTCTGTCGTCCATTCTTCTTTCACTGTCTTTATTTAGGGATTTTCTTACCACCCAAATCTGCTAGTATATCTAACAAGCCCATTGATTTAGTTTCTAAACTACGAACAGCCGTGAAGCAATCACCCTCACGGATAACTACACTATTGTCACACATTCGTTAGCAGAGACACCTGGCGACCCGGGTTATTATATAGCAACACAAGACCCTGACTTATCGCCAAACCTACTGGATCTGTCTAATTTGGCAATCGTTCACCCCTTTCACGTCACTAGCATGGTTCGCGACGCTTCGTGGCCATCTCGCGGGCGCAGTGCTTGACGAAAGCAAGCCGAAGTACAGCTCCGACAATCTCTTTTTCCAGAATCGTGACCCTGAAGGCCGCGGAGGTCTTCGTATTTTGCCCAAGCGCGATATTGGACACAGAAGCCTGGGACGAATCCAAGTCATCGCTCGTCTTGTAGATTTCGAACGGCGGTAATGCACGATATGTCCGGGTGAGGATCCGCAAACGGATCTCCACGGATGGAGGACGTATAATTCTTTCGGAAAATTAAGTTGTGGTTTCAATTATTTGCTCATTGGGCGGAGTTTGGGAGATCTGCTGGGATCCATTTTTTATTTGTTTGTTTATTCCCCCTTTTTTTGCCTTCGTGTTTAAACGGAGATCTCGAAATGTGCTAATCTTCGCGTTTCTAGGATTCATAGAGAAGCTGTTTAGAATAGACTCTAGAAAAGTTAATTATAACCATTTTCAATTGCTAGCAAATATCCCTGAGATACCTAACTACGTGCTTGCAGAGCTCCTCTTTCTGGTGGCTTCGGTGTTTCTAACAGTGGGCAAGTCTATTACGTCATTTCTTATTGATCAATAAGCTTTAGTTACATTGAATCCACAGCCACAACTTCTTACTGCTCCCTTCAGTGAGCTGCAGAACCAGGTTTTAGGGATACGGACAGAAGACTCGACGTTGTATCTTGCGTGTCTGCATGTCGCAGCAGCCCTGGGAGCGCGAAGTCAGGAGGCTCCCTACTGTTTTAGCTACAACCACTCTAGTTATGATACTCGACCCCCCACTTCTTGAACATCATTAACATGGACGACGGAGAGAATGTCTCTAGATGACCCTTCTTTTAGAGGAGAGTCGGCTGGGCGCGAAGGAGATGATTTGGCCGGCAATGTCTCTTGGGACCGGCCAGAGGATCAGCCGAAAGACCTTGACATGTCCTGCCTATTAGAGACGCGTTGGTGGTTAGCAAGTACCGCGTTTCCGTTGTTAGCTGTACGTCTTCTTCTTGCGTGGGATTCGCACTTACAACTAACTACCCTTTTGCTTCTTTTTATGGTATGGTATGGAATTCGGAGATGTATGCAATGGACTAAATCCACCGATATTAGGGCACTTTTGGACCAACGGCGAGCGCTTTTAGCATTTGTTCTCTTGCAGACCGATGGCGAACCAGAATCCTTCCTGGAGGGGCATTGGACAATGCTGTCCCTGTTCGGGACCCTAAATGGTTGTCCCAGCGCAATGTTTCTCTACCTATTTTCTGCAGTTTCTCTTGCTAATTATGGATGTTCCTGCACAGGGCTATCGTCGTCAACGTAATATCCCTCGGCTTTGCCTTGGTATCAAACTTTTCCCTCTTGTTGAATATGGCTAGGCGACTGTCTTTCCCAATTGCTCAACCTATTACTATCGGAGGATGGTACATATCTTCAATTCTGCTCATTTGCCTAGCAGCTCTACTCCGCCACTATACCGATTTGACAACTTACCGCATGACTCAAGCGTATTACTATGCGATTATGGCCGCCGCAATTTACTTTCTAGTATCTTCACTCATGGTTGTGACGGTAATTGGTGCTACAAGAAACCATTACCCTAGAGAATTTCGTCTTACCAGGTACCAACGATCCATGATGCTGCAAACGATCACGTGGATAGTTTATTTGCTTGGGGGTGCGGCGATTTACTCCCATATCGAAGGTTGGGATTACCTGGACTCTGTGTACTGGGCAGATGTCACCCTACTTACAGATGGATTTGGAGACCTGTCCCCCAAAACCCATCTTGGTCGCGCACTGTTATTTCCTTATGCTGTAGGGGGGATTTTGACCCTGGCATTGGTTGTTACATCAATAAGGGAACTAATGTTAGAGCGAGGGAAAATGGCGATCATTTCTAGGCGGACGGAGGTGATGAGAAGTCGCGTCACATCTCAAGTTAGACAGGGGAAAGGGAATGTGAGTGGAATAAGGCTTCCCCCAATTTTGGACCGAACTCTTCTTTCCGAAAGCGAGAGACAGGAAGCGGAGTTTTATCTGATGCGCAAAATACACAAAGTCGCCAGCTGGAAAACGAAATGGATTTTGTTTGCCATCTCCCTATTTGCGTGGATGGCGCTCTGGCTTCTTGGCGCTCTGGGCTTTTGTGTTGCAGAACAGGATCAAGGCTGGACATATTTTGAGTCCATATACTTCGCCTATACATCCCTCCTCACGATTGGATATGGTGATTTCACACCAGGTGCGACATGGGGAAAACCGTTTTTGGTTCTCTGGTCCCTGCTTGCCATCCCCACTATGACGATCTTATTCTCCAGCATGGGGAACACTATCGCAAAATTTGTTGAGGACGCTACCAATTTTGCTGGTGAATTGACGGTTCTTCCTGGAGATACGAGTTTCAAAGATTTAATCGTTTATCCCATCCGCCAGTTTAGGGATCTAACTTACAACACCCCACGAAACTTCTTCTATGGTAGAGTATCACTGAGCCGCTATAACGAGAACAAGTCAACAAACAAAACCTGCCCACCAGCCTTCAGAGCACTTGACGGAAATAAGAAATTAAGCCCAGAGAACGAATCTAGAGAACGAGATATAGAGGAAGCGGCTAGAAATCCACACCGACGTCAATACATTCTTATCCGTGAAATTCGTAAGATTTCCCGAGATTTAAATGCCATTTCCCCGAAAATGTACACTTATGATGAGTGGTATTACTATTTATCTCTGGTTGGGAAAATGAAGTCGTGTTCGAGCTATATTAATATCCCCGATTCTCAAATCGAAGAAATACAACAGTCAGATCGTCCCCGAATTGGTCTCAGAACGTCAGTGAGTATCGAGAAACCGAAAAGTGAAGAAAATAAATGGAGCTGGATTGGGATGCAGAGCCCACTGGTGGGTGAAAAAGATGAAGCACAATGGATTTTCGAAGCACTGTCGGCAGCACTAGAGCACGATCTCAAGCGTCAGAGCGAGAGAAGGGAATAAAGTATAGAGCAGCTTAACTCTATAAATGTTCCTGATACCCTAGATACAATAAGTGGTTTGCTCAGTGAGTTTTAACTCTATAGTGAGTTCTTTGTTTTCTATCTCCGTTTATATCCTTGTTCGAGTTCATTTCTTGGGGTTTGAAGTTTTTGAAGCCTCTGCTATAAGAAGTAAAGTTAAATCTTCATTCATTTAAATTGCAAGCTTGCTAATAATAAGACATAGTTTCACCTTTATGTTATTTCCGAACTTGATCTGTTCCCCACTGGATGCCTCCATGGGTGTCTTACTTCAACATGGAATGAATACTCTCAGGCTTTGTTTGATCATTCTGTGAATCAATTGTGAAGGTCAATGTTTAATGATTAACCCAAGTCACAAACTATGGAAACAGAGCTGCTACAAATAGTTGGCTTTACTATTCACAGTTTCCTTGTTCTTTATCATGTTTTTTTCCATTGTTCCTTTGCGTATTCACGATGTTTCTTCCAGAATTCCGTTTACGATGTCCACCCATCGTGTTTTGGGCGATATCTTTATTTCCCCTACGTTTACCGTGTAGTTATGTATCTCCATGCCATGGCACCATGTTATACTTTGATTGCATCTAATACGGCAGGCTGCCTCTTGGATAGACGGAGCGTTCAGCTTTCCGGCGATCGGAATCCTATTTTCTTCTCAGAATCGCACCGTCCATTGATTCCGATTCTTACAACGATACCTTCGTTGGCTAAGTCGCTACAGGCAGAAACCGAATCCATCGAGTTTGCTTTCAAAACTACGATTACTGTTACTGCAACTGCAACTGCAACTATAGCTGGTTCGGCCAACACACGCTTCTCAAGTTATCTGTCATCAAGTTCTAAACCGTTGATCTTGACGCCGTCAAGCTCTAGGCCATCGCATTCACTACAATCGAGATTTGTATTATCAACTTCTACGCCACCAGTTTCTACAACAGTAGCAGTACCCAGTCGCGCAGAAGCCACACAATCTATGGTAGTGCCTGGGGAGTGTTCTCGCTCAAACGGTGTGCCATTCCCGGTTCTCGTTCTGTTGATCATTCTTGCTGTAGTCGCCGCGATACTATCTCTAGTGATTTGTTGGATACGGAGGAGTCGAAAGTTCTGCAGGCATTGCAAGACGGTTGCTCTTAATCCCTGTTGGGAAACAAACACCGTCTGCCAATGGTGTTCACATACTAGCCTCGCAAATTGACAAACGACCAAGTATATCGAGAACGAATAGAGGCGAGGCTGCATCCGTATCTAGTTTAAATTCCCAGCTCACCCGCGATACCAAGTCAGGAACTTCTCAGCGGCTTCCAGTTGGTGTTTCTATCCCCTCGTCGTTTTACCCTCATAACCTAAGCGCCAGGGTTGCCATTATAGAACCAAGAATTCTACAGCTAAACTGGGAGAGCTCAAGGGCGAATCCAAACATTTTGAATCCCAGCACTTCAGTCAATGGTAGTGAGGAACGGCGGGACCATACCTCGTCTATCGCATCAATCATCGATGAATACGCCCAGATACCCGATGAAAATGAGTATTCCGGTAGCCACCAGGCAAATAAGGGTGTTAGAAACTATATGAATTCAAATCTAAGACATGATGGGAGCTCCTCCGCCAATTTACGAATGGGAGACTTTCAGCCCAAAAAGCGGGACAACAGCCCGGTTATAGGGACGAGGTCCGTTTTACCGAATCCAGCGCGTAAATACTTCCAAAGTAATGGGAAGCAAGATTACTCGGTTGCAGGCCCCATGGCACCATATGATAGACGCAAGAAGAAACAAGATACACAACCTTCGCCGTCGAAAACTGGGCAATTTGGATCTGCCCCCAGGAGCGAGTCTTCATTTGGTGCTCCAAAGGAAGACGCTAGGGTCCAGACACCCAGATACGAAAAACAGGACAACCATAGCGACGTGAATTCAACTCCAGTGGAATCTCCACGTGCCACTCAGCCCAGCTCTATGACATCGATGATCTCCCCACAGATGTTAAGATCCACAAAGGCTAGTAATGGTTCTCCCACTCCAGCTTATCGCGCTGGGCTAATTAGGAGTAGCTGTGCTCCTTCCAATACAACGCGGGATTCAGACGCAAATATTAGCAGAATGCTACGTCAATGGGCTTTTATTGATCAGCAAAATTTTGGGTTGAAAGATCACTGTCCAGGACGATCTTCTTCAACTTGGGATGTATATGATAGCCATTCAAAAGCAAAACTGAAGTCCCATGTGCTGGGTATCAGAAGATCAATTTCTACACGTTTGCCAGGGATCTTATCGAAATTGTCCTTCTCAGGGAATAGGGCGGCAAGAAAGAGTAAGGATGCTGAATTTCAGGCTGCGGATTATCCTGACAATGAATTTCCCTCCTATCCTTATTCCGTCACATTTTCTGCAAAGAACGGGAACCCCGGAAAGAATCGGATTGGTGAGGCTCTTAGGTATAACTCTCATAATCCGGGCTTCAGGGGGCCTTATTTACTGCAGCGAACATACAGCGAAAGTGTCTATTCACGACCAACAACACTGCAACGGGTCCCAGAGGGTCAGCAGGAAGGCGTCGATCACAGCGTTGACCCAGGATATTTAGACCAGATATTTATTAGTCCACAAGTTTATGGAAATTCAGAAGCAGGACCTAGTAAACACTCACCTGCGACCTCGTTCCCCAATGGAGGCGGTGGTGGTAGTGATAATGACAAACTTGCGAGTTATAAATTCAACACACATCGCGAGCGATAACTAAGCAACGGAGCATATCGCCAAGCGGCAACACAGTGTGCTTTCCCCAGGCAAGAGAAGTGGGATTCGTGATCCCCCTCTTGAATACAATGCGTGTGTTATGGAGACAACAGATAAAGGGTGGATTCATTTCTGACCCTCCTGCATTAGTAATATAGATGATTCTGGGAATCATCAGGGCCCGAGACGAGATCCAGTCATTCGCCGATTTGCGGACACGCACGGGGGAGTTAGGAAAAAGAGCCCTTGAATGGATGTTTCAACTGTAGCCCATGTTTTAGAAGGCAATAGGTGTTTTAACCTAGGAGCGTGTTCTATGATCTCAATGCGAATACAGATTGCCGTTTCTCACCATTTCTTCAATACTATGCACACAGTCCAACGGCTTCTCCGTACGCCGGACCCGCAGTTTCTCATATCTATAAAAGCATCAGTGACAGCTGTCCAGTGGATCGAGTGGTCTTTTGACAGCGAGGGCTCCACTGGCAGTTCTGATAAGGTGATTGGTGAAAATAAGGTTTAGATTATGAGTGCTTAGCACCTTAACCCCAGACGCTAGTTAGCTGACTAGTCCCCAGAGACCCTAGCGTATAGATTGGGTTTTCCCGTGATTCAGCCGCTTTTGCCTGTGTATTGTCTTCAACGTCGCTTCGTTGCATGGAGTGGGGGGAGTGTAAGGAGGCTGGCGGGCGGCTGGGAGTAGTTCTGCAATCCAAAATGGATTTACACAGAACATGAGACAAACTAAAATATGGCAGGGAATATGGGTCAAGATAAGATTGGGCCTGTGAACTCGCAAATAAGCGGCTGCCACGGTGTGGTCTTGGTGGCTGGGGTGCCAACCTCCTCGACTATCCCAGCCCACCTTATCACACCAACCACCCACAATATACGCATTGCGTCAGATCGATCATGCAGGGCCCCATTAATACCTATATTCCCCAGCAGAATCCATATTTCTTGTTTCATCATGCCCTTCTACTCTGTATTTCATGGTGTTTTGATGGGCTTTTGAATTGTTCTTGGTGTTTTTTGTGGTTTCTTCGCTCCCTGTGATTTAGTGCAATCCTTTGCATCCGTCATGACCTCTCAGCCTGCTACCAATTTGAAAGCTGTGAAATGTAAGCTGGATGGATGTAACAGATTGCTAAACTTCCTAGCGGATGTTTATAACTAACGGAGCTTCTCCACAGCCAACCAACCTCAATTAATCCACTCTTCATCTCAGCAATCAATTGCTGCCTCTGACGACTACTATTCCTTTTCTGACATTTCGCAAACTTCAAATCATAGTCGAGTCACCGTTGTGCGATATGCGACCCCGCCAACTCGGAGATCTTCACCTTCTCCCAATATGACTATGGCTTCTTGGACGGGGCAAGGCAACATGGCAATTGGAGCTTGTAACGGCGAAGCTGGCCCCGACTCGGAGAAAATCCCGAGAGGTAGTTTAGGGGCACCAAATGCTCCAGGTGGCATCAGGATAGGAGATAACGGGACGCCAACCCCCGGTCTGGATGATATGCCATACATCAGGTTTGCCATCGATCAATTGACCCGCGACGAAGAACTAGTTGGAGAGGGACGACATGGCTCGTTTGTCAGCACGGATTATCCTGTTGAACGTATCATTCCCAATGAAGGTCTGGGATATTATACATCTACTACTGCAGAGCCAGTGGGGCAAACAAAGAAGGAGCCTCAAGAAACAAAGAAAATTGAACATCCAGGTAAATCACTACATTTCTTTATCCATCTCTCTATGTTTTTCGCTCGACGATGCAGATACTGACTTGGATAGTGTCAAATATGCTTACTCCGATAACTCCGCCCTCAGATGGCTACCAACACCCGCGGCTTAACTTTGTTTCTCTCGCACTCAGGCCTCTACCACTTTTGCTGCTAACTACGGCATGTCTCGCCATGATAGCTGCCCTCATATTCTGTATCCTCTGGTCGCAACGGAATGGGGGCTTGTGGGCATATGATGGGCTTGGTGGCTCACGATATTTCGTGTTCCAATTCCTACCACAGTTACTAGCCATTTTCATTACGATTTGGCTATTCATTTTACAGTCCGCGGTGTATCGGATTCTCCCACTGACAATTTTAGCCTCGAGAAGCGGATCGGAAACTGCCTTGCAAAGCATTAAGATATTGTCTCATAATTTTCTCCTTCCGGATTTATCGCTCTTCCAACACGGTGAATGGTCGACAGGCATGTTCCTTGTGATATCATGGATGGTTAATATTTTTACCGTCCCACTACAAAGCGCCTTGTTTGTAGCTCGTTTTTATACACAAGCTGGTGGGGGAGGGTTTCGATGGACGACTGCCTGGGGCGTGGCTGGGACATTGATTGCTCTGTATGGGCTGCTTACCATTGCCCTGCTTGGACTTATGTTTCGATTCAACTGGAGGGTGAGCGGACTTCTGTGGGATCCAGTTTGCCTCGCCGACATCATCCCCCTGATACAAAGGTCCAACGCTCTAGGACGATTTGACAAGAAGGAGATTTCGCAGTCAGTCGGGAAGGATCTCTTGCTTCATAGACTGCGATTGGGATATTGGTCTTCAGGTACCAACAGCAATGAGATATTATATGGCATCGGGGAAGAAAACGTTATTAAAGACCAAGAGTCTTTTGATCAGTCACACCATCCAAAGCGACATTCTGAAACATCTCTCCCTGATAATTTGGACATGGAACGACAACACCTTAACAACAAGGGCTCCTTTGAAAGAAAGGTCCACTCCCCATTCGTTCGGTATCGATGGACCGTGTGGTTTCTCAAGGATACCTTCGTGGTAGCATGGATCGTCATCGCGATTGTCCTGATGATTGCATTCATCGTCGTCAGTTTCGTCAGGCAGCCCATCAGAGACGGGTTTGTTCCTCTTTTACCTACGTTACCCTCATCGACCAGCTTCTCCTCATCCAACTTCCTATACGGTTTTATTCCTTCTCTAATCGGAATAATCCTCTTTCTCCTCTGGCAACCCATCGACCAATACTTCCGCGCTATCCAGCCATTCTGCGACCTCTCTTCCCCCAACGGCGCGCCTGCCGAAAAGAGCCTCTTGTTAGCCTACCCATCCTGTTATCCATTAGAAGTTACCTTCCTCGCCCTCAGCGCTGGCCATTACAAAGTCGCATACATCTCCTTTATGAGTTTGGCCTCTCTTGCCATCCCCGTTCTCGCAGGCGGCGTCTTCATGGCCCGTTTCTACACCGAGCCCGGCGAAGTGCGTATCTCCACCTACATGCCGGCCTACTACACCCTCATGGTCTTTGTGATCATTTACGCTCTTTCATTTCTCATCCTTTGGCCTCGCCGCAATCGCTACCTCCCACATGCCATTTTCACATACGCGGATATTATTAGTTTCCTGTACCAAAGTCCCCTTTTGTCGGATAAGGTATTGCGCGAACCCAGGACGAAAGCAGACTTGGTGATGAGGGTCACAGTTGCGCCGCCAGGTGATGATGAAAAGGCGCTCTACGTTTTTGGTATCTACAATGGTCGCGACGGCGGGGAACATCTTGGGATCGATCGGCTGAGGAGAATAGGCCAGGTTGAGATGTTCGTTGGACTGAATGACGGCAGTGAGGTTGTGTAATATCTCTGCTATTTAAAAGGGTGTGAACCGAATATTTGAATTTCCCGCGTCGAAAAATTCTGATGATGTGGTGTTTTTTTGGGGTTGGATGGTTTGTTCTTGGTGTTATCTATCTGATTGTTTTCTATATTCTCCATTTACCTCATGAATTCAACACTACTCCTCCCGCCTGGCCGACCAGACGTTATAAAAAACGGCAGACGGCACAGACGATAGACGATAAACGACAGACGACAGACGACGAATGATGAACGACGAGCGACACAAACGTAGTAATACCCGGAATTGAAAAATGCTACAATTTATTTACGACATTACTTTCATGATAGACCAGCGACGGCGCAATTGGGATATGATTTTTGTTTATTTTACATTGCCCAACGGAATGTCTTGGTGCTCATTCGGCTCCCCAGGGATTTTTTTGGTTTATTTATTTATTTTTGTGAATTTCCTTGATTTTCTAATTCCCAGGAAAGGGCCAAGTTATATTTTTAAAACATAAGAGAAGCATACAATAATATCTATGTATTTTGCACCTTGATTTCTAAACCATAAAGAACCAATAAATGATATAACTCCAGATTTATCCTATGTCTTGTACCATCCTTGAACTGAACGCCTAAATAAAACCAAATCCACTATTTACTCGCTGCGCAGGAGGCATGACTTGCCCAAGGGTCCCCTCAATATGTTGTTACTTGATTTCTAACCCACGATAAGAGATTTGATGGTCGAGTTCGACGCACTACGCATCTTGTGCTGGAGGCTCAACCTTCGATGATTGTTCACCATGAGCTTGATAGTCGGATCGCATTTGCGGAAAATGGGAGCCAGGGTGGAAGGCAGTAAGGAGGATAGCGGCGACCAAGCACATGCTATGATTTGTTGTTAGCTTTCGTAAATTTGCATTTTAGAGGAAGGAGGGTTAAGTAAGGAGGAGAGATACATGGAGATGGGAAGGCGGTTTGAAACGTACACTCCTTCAAAGATGATAAATGAGATTTGATCTTGCATAATCTCATTGCGCCAGCCTCCTGCCATTTCAGCGATTCTACAATAGAGTTTTGTCAGTATCAAGGGTGCGATAAAATCAAATAAAGGGGGGGGAGGGGGGGAGTTCTGTCTGGAGGGATTGGTCAGGAGCTGGTAGGGGGTTTGCATATCAGACAAAACATACCGGTAGATACATCGTGCAAAGATCGCGACGAATGCAATAACCAAACTAATGAGGAACGTCCTAAACTTTGTGTCTGCCCACACCTTCTGAGCCTCAATGGTCATGCGGCGGCCACCATCCTCAAGGACACTCCAGAAGAAGTGACCAGCCAGAGCGGAGAATATAATCAAGGTGACCACCTGCCACACGATACCGGCAATCATGGTGTTTGCTCCGAGAGCTTGGGTTTCTGGTGTATCTCCAGTTGCTGCGAGGCCACCACCGGCTCCCTGGAGGAAGAGCGAAAGAAGGTCAAAGCCGATAAATATCCAGGTATACAGCATTGGCTTCAACAGCGAGAGGTGAACTCCCAAAGCAAGAGACATATGCTTTAGGGTAAGGTATATGGAGGCACTTAGAAATGATGGCGCGATGATGAGTGTGCAAATCTGGATTTGAAAGCCATTGGAGTCCCATGGGTTCTTATTCAGCATGAGTCGGCCAGCATATCCTGTTGATAAAAAGGAAAATGGGTTAGAGCCAACCATCAAGTTGTCTGATTGTAGATTCCTGTCCTTAACATACCCATGGTTTCAGCGACGCAGCCCAAGGCCATTGCGATTCCATATGAATATATCTTGTACTTGTAGAGTTGCCAGAGTTGAACGAGGCAGAAAACCCCAAAAGCGACACAAAATATCATGTTAACCACCGGATTCGGGTGGTATCCATATATGGTTGCGTCGACTGGGCACTCCGGGCCCACCACCTCGCACATACTATATTTTCCCATCTCGAAAGGCGAGGCGACGTAGGAAAAGAAATTTGCGGGCAATAGGAGTTGATATTTTGTCTGTAATTGTGAGAAGTTGAGCACGCTGTATGTTGTTGGAGTTTGATCTGTTGAGCAAGAACTGGACAATCTCGAAATCGGGGCAGTCTGTCTTTTAAATAGAGATATCTTGGTCCTCAAAGATATTCAATGGTTGATAATCTAACGAAATATGAAAATATGTTGAGAAACTTGAATATTTGATAATCTCCAAGAATGTAGGTATGCATGGCTTGTACACACACATACATTTGATAGCCGAAGCCCCCCCGCGTGAACGGGATGCTAGGACATTCTTTACGTCCGTAATGCGACATGCGACCTGGGAGAACTGGACTGGCCCGAAACCGCCAACGGCCGATAGTTAATGTTACGAGGGATGTTTTGAGCTAAAGCTTTATCTCCGGTTCGGGCGACTGAACACGAAGGTTGATGCGTCATCCCGTAAAAATGACCCCTCGTGGTGATTTCTAATCCTTGAAGTCCCTCGAGTCGAGCCCGAGTTCCCAACTGATCACCGCTAGAAGCTGATTCACAAAGGGGCAGTGACAAGCATTAGGTCCGTCAGGTAAATATTTATCCTTGACAGCGGGCATTGATTGCATCATTGGAAGAGAAGCGGATGTACAGGTCGGCTGTGCTTGACGACGTGAGCCGTAAATCGCCCGTTGATCATTCATTGACTGGTGGAAGGTTAATGCTGTGACGATAGTCAGAACGTAGTAGTATTCGTAATAATAACTAGCTAATCTATAAGATGATAGCTCTGAAAAGAAGAAGAGAAAAACAGCGAGAAAAGAATTGAAATATCCCCGTGTCCGTACGAGCTTAGTCATAAAGCGAGGCATACAGCCGTGGCGGTCCGCAGGGATCTGAGGCATACCCCCAGCTGAACGCCGTCAGGATGAAGCTGAAGAGATTACCCAAATAGGCAATAGATAGGAGATGTGAGGGTTGAATTCTTACAAATTGCGGGCGCAAAACAAGAAAATGAGCGACCAAAAAAAAAAAAAAACCCTAAAACTAGTTCAAAACAGGCTGCTAGTGAGTGATAAGATCTGTAACATTCATCAGGTCAAGTTGACACACAAATGTGGTGTGTTCTTCTTAGAGGACCGATATCAACCTTGTTGCATTGTGGGACTCTAAGCGAGCTAGCTACAACTAATAAATATATATAGAGGTGCACGTGACCTCGGGTAGCCGGGGAATTCTCCAACAGTTTTTGTGGCTTCAATGACTTCCTAAATCTATCTGCTGGCATTACTTTTAGCCCTCATTCATTCAACATTGACAGGCACACTGGACATATTCTCCAAGTCAATGATGATGATGATGATGATGATGATGAATATCAATGTGTCATAGGTGTGTATTTAGCTCCGAGTCAGATCAGACAAGCAGGTTTGTGAATTGACAGTTATCACAAAGAATATAAATTCTCTGCTCTGGGTCAAATTGAATTTGAGTAAAGAGAAATACTGTCAGATTGCTTTGCAGCATATGTGCGACATCATGAGAAGTTCAGTTTTGATAGTAGATGTTGTTGTTGACTGATGAGAGAATTTTCAATCTATAGAGCTGCTAACTGTTATGGCTTCAATCTAGGCGCAGGTAAACAGATGTTCGATTGCCAGCTACGTAAGCTATCTCTCAACGAAATACTAAGATGCTCTACCAAACAGGGGCCTGGGGAAGCCTCTTCTTATATACCTCTTTCCCACCAACGGTTGCTATGCCGTTGCTAGGCAGTTGCTGTGGGGTATTTGTTTACGGGGTATTTGTTTACGGGGCGGTTGCAGGCAGTGGCTATTTTACCCTTCTTGATCAATGCCAGTTTCCGCAGCCATACGCCATCATAAGCGCCGTAGCCAGCGCCATAGCCAGCACCATCACAGTAACTATTCATTCATATATTGATGATTAAAATAATTATCATTCATTTATCAAGTCAAGCATTCAGAATACAGTTGCTAATCATTTGCAGAGTGTTTTATAGCACTTCTATACAGCATATCTATAGTCTTTTATTGTTGATACTAGTCATTTATGAAGAAACTTAATGATCTTATAAACATCTATTTATTCATCTTCAGTGGCATTTTCAAGCAGCTTTATATTTCCTGTTCTGTAGATAAGATCACTTATCTTCCCAATGACTGTCAATTTTCTTCATCATTTCCTTTTGCATTTATTATAACACTTCAGTTCTGCCCTGTAGACAGTGATGTTCTTTTGAGACAGTATGAACCTCATCTTTGTACTCTGATTATGATGGGCTAGCCGCTGAGAACAGCTAACAGCTAACACATGTGAAAACAGAAAGAAATCATTAAGGAAGAAAAGAGAGAGACAGATCATGTAGGGGATTGAGCTTCCTCTTATAGAGGGCGGAGATTCAGTATGAAGATGACTGGACTAGCACCTTGGTAATAGGGGTTATAATGGATAGGGGCTAATACAGATAGGGGTAGAGGGGGGCCGCCTCGGTACCGCTGACTCGATGGCGCCGTTTCGAGAGGTTGTCTCAATACGTAGCCTGAGTGAGTATCATGGGCGTTAGGGCATAGCCCTTCATAGAAAATATCCGTGTCCGCATGTGCACGCGAGCTTAGTCATAAAGTGAGGCATAACTTACTAGTTAGTTTCGGTCCGCAGTGATCCATCCGAGGCATACGAGCGATCCGAGGCATGATACGATGCTCGTGCCCACAAAACCATGGATATCAAGTGTAAAAGATTCTGTCCCCTGGAATCTGACATGCATTAACCTGAGGTGTTTCGGGAAAACCTTCCCGTATTGCCCATCCCTGCATTGCTATATCATTTACCCATAACTATATATTTTTCAACCGCGTTGAAGCGTCGAGGTGGTCGATATGGCGACAGTTCCCTTCTTCGTGATGTGGGATAGGGAGAAAAATAACTTCAATTTTTGCACTCCAGACCCCCTCTGTAGAGTGGCTATTTTTATCTTTTTTGCTTTCATCTTTGTCGTCCTCTTACCTTTTTGGCAGTTTGTGGAACACAGCTTGTCGGGCTCTCGTTTCTGGTGGAAAGCAAGGTGGAAAAAGACGGCAGGAAATAGTTATCTATCTATATCTATATCTATCTATCTATCTATCTATCTATATATATATATATAAAACCCTTTCAAACGGATCTGTCGGTCCCGCCCTGGTTGTATCCAAAGATGGTGGACAAACAGATAGAAAAGACCAGCGCCGATGCCGATATTAAAAGAGATGACATCAAATCAGAATGGACAGCCTGTATCAGAACTGAGAGATTGTTCATCCGGCGTGTGATTGTTGGCGAGGATGCAGATGGCATATTCGCTATACGTTCACGGATGGATGTCATGAAGTGGAGGTAATTGACCATCTACCCAGATCTTGAATTCCAGGTGCCTTCTCCTGCTTGTTGAGTTGTTTTATCACATTCCCATAAATTCAGGTCATGACCTTCCGTGCAGGTCTCCTTTTTATTACCTACCTTCTGGTAGAATCACGGGCCTCTTTTTTATCCTTTCTTCTTTTTCTTCATTTTTTCTTCGTTGTGGTCCCTCCCTCTCCGTGTCATTGTCTGATTCCTTGAGCAAACTCCCTACAAAGAGAAATGGGACTTATCGTATGGATTCGTGAACAGACCTCACATGGCTCACACGCTCGAACAGCTCCGCGAAAACCCCCGATGCCGACGTCGCGGCAACGAAGAACCATTTCCTTAACCTTGAACAGAAGGGAGCTCTCAATCTCGTCATATTTGAAGGCTCCAATACAAGTCGGGTCATTGGCACCATTGGCTTCTTCAAAAGGGACGGGCCGCATGGGCTGACCGAGCTTGGATACCTGCTACATCCAGACTTCTGGGGGAAAGGATTCATGACCGAAGCCGTCCGTGCTGCGATCAACTTCTGGTGGGACTATGTCTCCGTTGTTCCAGAGAATAGCGCTGATAAAAACGGATTATCCAAGAATGATACGGTCTTGCGTGCCGTTACTGACATGCTGAATTTGCCAAGTAACCGGGTTTTGGAGAAGTGTGGATTCAAGAAGACCGCAGCGATGGCTGACAAGAAAGGTCCTGATTTCACGTGGGAGCTGCAAAAGAACTACACTTCGACCACTTGAGAAGATGACGGTGTGACGGGCAATTGATCGTGGATGAAATTCCCCCATAGTCCTAATGTTGTTTCCCTCGGTTTGGTGGTGGATAGTTTCTTTGTCGCTGCATCTTTGATGAATCCACGTTCCTCGCAAGTCCCATGTATTCCAGGGACTTCATTTGTCCTCAGTATATTACAACTTAAGAATGGAGAAAGCAATTTGGTATTTAGGAATCATTTATAACCATCCAAAAGGGAAATACGTGCTTTTTTTCTTTTTTTCTTTTTAGGGTAGTTAGGATGATGATTCTTGAGAGGGAGCTTATTTAGCGAGTTCATGGTGCTTCTAGCGGGGAGAACTTGAGGTGCATATATTGCACATATTCATCAACAGTGGGTCGGACAGAAACTATGATACCCAAATTATAAGAAGTGATCTGCCTACTCGATGTATTTGACCAATCTTTTGCGCGGATAGGCAATAAGTTGCAAACCAGACCCAAGTATCGCCTCCAGGGGTGGAAGAAGATAGATTAGCAAGTCTAAATAACGTTGGAATTATTTATGGCCAACGCTGAACTTCCTCAGGGGGTTTCTCGACTCTCAAGAAAGCAGTCCACCTATCTACAGGTCCTTGCCAACATACTCTACCAAGAACTGCCAAACATGATGCGAACGGCTATTCTCCCACCGGCCACCCCGCTGCACCCAAGTGATCCCCATATAGCTTCTAGTATATGATGCTGGCGATAGCTCTGCAGTCTGGGCTAGTCTGCAAGCTCAAGTTGGCCGATTAAGACACAAGGGCAGAGGCTGTCGCACTGAAGTTCATACGCAATAAACTACTTAACTTCAAAACCACAGAGGTCCTTACACTAGATCGAACGTGATGGCCGATCGTGACCTTTTCTCACGAGGCTCCTGGGTCGGACTCTGATGGATGCGTGACCTAGTCTGACTGAGGACTGGCGACTGCGTTACACGAGGGCTGTGGTGAGCATCTGTCATCTAGCAGAATGGAAAGGGCACGTCCTCAGTGGCGTGCATGGCAGGAGAGTGCCTAAGCAGTAACTCAGTCCTGTGAGCCTTCAACAAGGACGCAGAGCCATGGGCATGGCCTGCTCAAGCGTTGTCTTTTATCGTACTGACTTTGGGCCAGGGAACATCTTTTGTGGAGAACGAACCAACGTTAGGGACTGCTGTGGCTATTGATTGGGAAGCAGCTGGCTATTTCCCTAGAGGCTGGGTCAGGACCAAGTGTCGAATCTGAAGTGGTATGGATTTCTCAACTTCGGCCTCCATCAATCCGACGTAGTGGAGAGCGGAAGTTCAATTTGCTCGGGATCCAATGGATTTGAAGATTGCTCCAGAGTTTGGCAGTTATGGTGGGTATTAAGCTGCTCAGTTTTATTAGGTCTCAGGACTAAATCAAGGTAACTGCCGCGATGATGAAATCGAGCTGGCCAAAATCCAGTTCTCTCAATTGCTTTTCCACTTAAAATAAATTGCACGGGTCACCACTGGAAGAACGTCAACTTCTCCAAGTTTGATAGGCATATAAAAACCAAAAACTCGCGCATAGAGGTATTCCCGGCTCCCCAAAAGTCTGATTCCACATCCCGTTATCATCTGTCAGATGCATCCTCCCACTCTGTATCAAACTGCTGGTTAGAGATCGCGTGTATATAGAGGGATAACCAGCAAGGACCCTTCTGAACGCTGGGGTATCCGCTTGCCCTCCCGTTTACCTTTAGATGACCTGAGGATGTCCATAGGTGCAGTTGCTTCAAACGCTCTTGATTTCCTGGACAGTAAATGCTGTCTGTAATGTTGTTGTATCCACAATCCATGCAGTCAAGTCCGTTTAAGCTGTTCAACATGTGCAGTCGTTAGTAGATATGATATCAGACTTGGATGATCTGAGAGCGGTAATGAGATTGCACGATGTAGACTGGGGCAATCTCTAAGAACTGGCAGTTTGATGTGCTGACTTCTGATGTTTTTTTTGGGGGGGGGGGCATTCCAGACATCCAACAACTAACTACACTCCCTAGATCAAGATATTTCGGGGTTGGAAAAGAGTTTGTAGTTAACTACCCACTAACCCTAACTGGGTCGAGCCCACTTAAACTTCCGCTTGTGAGAGTTCGGTTTTTCCTCCGCAACTTGAAGCTGCAATTCAAAGTCGACTCGCAATCTCGAGAACAAGCAGGATATGTGAGTAAGGGCAAAACGATCCTGTAACGGCCTGCCTTGCACACCCTCATCTGACATGGCCTCCTATTTCTCCCGACCATCCACCACCATGCCCTCCAGCCCCAGCCAAAATGGCCAAACCTCAGAACCGCCATCACAGCGATCTCAGACACAAGAACAGCAAACACAATCCCTCCAGCCCGCTCAAAAATCCCAGCTGTCAAATTCCGCAAAGCTCCTCATCGGCGGCACCGTTTTCCTCATCCTCTCCACGTTCATAACCCGCCGCACTCTCCGCCGCAAACGCCTCACTTCAATCCCACCCACCTACACAAGCGCCCCGTACCATAAACCCCAAGTGAACGGAGGCCTGGAGGCACTAGAAGCTCTCAACATCGCGACAATAAATGTGGCCAGCGTGGCCATGATTGGCGTCGGGGCAGGCATGTACGCATTTGATATTAATACCATGGACGATTTGCGGCGGAAGGTGAGAGGCGGCTTGGGGATTGATGGGTCTGGGCGGTCAGAGCAGGATGTCGAGGAGGAATTGGAGGAGTGGGTTGTTCGTGTTTTGAGTCGGAAGACGGAGAAGGAGAAGCGGAGTGAGGGGGGGCAGCAGGATGCTAATGAGAAGGGGAAGGAAAGATAAAGGCGATTTTGGGGAATTGAGCTGGGAGAGTATGATGGGAGGGGAGGGGTATATCGGGATTGGCTTGCGATATTCCGCGAGCATGAGTATCTTGAGATGAAGGACCTAGCCAGGACTCTCTAGTTCTTCCTAGGGAATTGAGGGGTGACTCGCCATTGATGAGACTGAGGAGACCTTCTGAGCTGCTACTGCAGATGACGGCGTCTGCGTTTTCTTCGTCATTAACATATATTACTACGGCCCAAAAACGGTTCTTCCCGTGGTGGAAAGACACCAATTTCGTTCCCTTAGAGAGAGAGAGATTTTCTAGAATTCTATAGCAGCCATGCCTACTTGAAAATATACTGTACCATAATGTTCGTTTCTGTTTCGATTATCCTACTAAACACTGGAAAATACAAGAGGAAAAAGAAATACAGGTGGGGAATCTGTAAATTTTACCCCTACTTAAATCCATGACAAAACTCCACTAAAAGAATGTGTGGTATAAAACCTTCGCATCTGCCAAAGGCCCGCAAGACCTACGAGTAAACAAAACATAGCTAACGGTACAGAATACGGACGGATAGAAATCCCACGCATCCCCCTACCCCTCCTTGGACATCCGCTCATATCGCTCGCGTGCAGTCTCCTTCGTCTTCTCCAGAAAGTCATCATACCTGCCCCTCGTATTCCTCCCGGCTTCCTGAACTGCATCTCCAACTTTCCCTCCTTGCGCGCCTAACCCAACGCCTTGGACATATAGATCAGTAGCGATGGGAGCGGTCATCCCAGACCCCTCCGCCCCAAGTCCCGAGCCAGCAGACCAGCCCATTTTCCCAAGCAGTGCTGCCCCTTTAGACATAGCAGAGACAGCGGGAGCTTCCTCAATTTCCTTTTCAAATTTCTTCTCCTTGGATTTAACCGATGGGCCGAAGGCCTGACGTCGCTCCTTAGCACGGTCACGGTATTCTGTTGATGGTTGTTGAGGATCATCCCGTTTTTTCGCCAATTTCGCCATCGCTTTCGCCTTGAGCGCCTCATTTTGTAGGTTATCACGGTGAAGTTGACTGAGTCTCTCGTGTTTATTTACTTCTGCCTCGGTTTTAAACTGTCGCATACAGAGATAGCAGCATTTGCGATTGAGATCTGCATACGATTGGGTTGGAACTGGAGATGTAGAAGATGACCCTCCTTTTTCTTTGCTACCCTGCTGGTTGTCACCGCCCGAACTCTTGTCTGTGGATTCATCTCTTTGGATGCCGTGCAGTTCAGCGTGGCGGTTACTCCAGAATTGTAGGTGCGTTGGCACAGCAAGCTTTTTCATGCCAGGTGTTGCTCCAGCATCGGCTTTTCTCTTCTTTGGCTTTTCGGTCTCTTTTCCGGCTTTTGGATGCTTGTCTGTTGTCGAAGATGCCGTCACTCGAGGCTTGGAACATTTCTTGTCCGGATCTTCTATTGATACCATCAGCTCTGTAGCATAAGCATTCTCATCCCAGTATGCTAGCTTCATGGAAGGGTTTCCAAGTGGGCTAAAGGTGAATCTTTCCGTGCTAGCGGTAGGATTGATGACTGGAACGAAGACACCAGCATGGATATAACTTGCTAGGACCGGCTTTGAGGAAATTGTAAACGTTTCAAAGGAGTTATATCGAGTTAGTGCAGCTTGGGCATCCTGAAGAAACGTTAATAAATATACCCTCTTTTTTTTTTTTTTTTTTTAAAAAAAAAAAAAAAAAAAAAGAAGAAGAAGAAAAAGGGTACTTACTGCCACAGTTGCAAATTCCGCAAATCCGTATTTCCAACTTTCGTTACTTCGACGATCTCTTATGAGTAATACCCGTCGTATTGAGCCTTCTCGTGCTCCCAGATTAGAGTCACCGGTCGTCGAGGCAACTTTTGCGCCCTTTTTAGCTGCGGGTGGTGCACCTTGTCCTTCTGAACCAGACAAGGGTTTATAGAGTTTAGCCACTCCTTTCGCGAGAAGTTCTTCTGTGACTGAGGCTTCCAGACCACGGAGGAGAACAAATTGAGACGGGGTTCCGTCGGTAGCTACGTCGTTGTCACCATGATTCGCAACGCGTGGAGGATTCGCTACTCCGGGGGGAAGTTGAACAAAATCTTCAAAAATCAGATTAGTTTCCCTAAAACTTTAGAGTTAATGACGCACCAGTTCGAACTGCCTGGCATCGAAAACATTTCTGTCTTTTTGCGTAGTTGACGATGGCACACTAAATCGCACTCGTTAGTTAATAGATAGTTATCGCAGAGCTATTTTCAAAACCTACGATCTTGCAAGTCCACTCTCCCTCAGCTTTGATTCGATTACGGTCCTCTCTTTCTCGACTATAAGCTATTCTAACCCTCATGCCACGGTCATCAGTATGCGAACCGCTATTCCCATAGAGATATATGGAAGGAAAATTGCGTTCCAGGAATTCACGAGAATCGTCAATTGTATGGAACCGAATAAACCCCAACTTTCGGGATATCTCTGGAAGGGAGAATCAGCATTTTTCCGACACGTTAAAAGAGAACATCAGACGTACTTGTTTGGCGGTCGCGGATGACGCGGACATCCTCCAATGCCTCGACATGGTAATATTGGGTGAGTTCATTCAAGATCTGTCACAAGAAAAGCATCGACCGGAATGATAGCCGGCGACAAGCACATCTCAGTATATGGTTCTTCCAAGAAAAGGAGAGAAAACGTAGCGCAGCCACTCATATCATGAGGAAATTCAGTTTGCTATGAATGGTTGTAGGGAAAGGGAGGAGAGGTCGAACGTCGTCTTCATTCATGTCAACTGGCAAGCCTTCCATCATGATCTCACGGCTCTCCTGGCCGTAGTAAGGACGTCGAGTGCCACGTTGGCTGCGGCTTCTAGATCGACTTCGGCTTCTGCTATAGCTTCTGCTGCGACTGTCATAACCGGGAGAGCGATATCCTTCCCGGTCACGGTCCCTGTAAGATGACCTTCCGCGCCGCCGCGGGGGCGACCGGGACGGGCGTCGATACTCGTTTCGCTCTCTAGATCGATAGTCCCTAGCAATCGAAATGTCGCCATCGCCGCCGTGATATCTCCTATCTACAGCATGACCACGAGGAGATGTCCGAGAATTGTCTTCAGATAGAGAAACAGAAATGAAGAAATCAGCACAAGCTCAAATGAGGGATGTATCCATTTATTCGCCCCAGTGCGCGAAGTTGATTTTACCATGCGGAGGAGAGACTGGACCGCCTGGCGAGCCGTATCTATGGTCCCGAGATCGCGGGATAGAATGTGGGGGAGAGCGGGAGCGGGAGCAGGAGCGGGAGTGTCGGTCGTCATACATGCGTCCGTCACGGTCGTTGTGGCGAACTGGCGCATTATACGACGGGGCTCCGCGGTACCCTCTGTCTCCAGGGCTATACGAAGACATATTGTGATATCATGAACAAACAAGCTTGAAACGGGTATTAGTGAACGAGGACAATACACTACTCAAGGGAAAACAGCAATCGGATGTTGGATTTTTGATGTTTGTCGTCGATTAAAACTTGAAGCTGTTCAGCCGGTTGCAGGGGAGCTTAGTCAGCCCATATCACATGACAGACATTTGAGAAATCAGTCAGATAACAACATGAAACATTGAAGTAAGGAGTAGAGATGGAATGAATGTAAATAATTAGAGGAAAGTATTTTCATGTTTGATTCCTTTGGTCCCATATTCATGTTTCCTATATGCATACCGCCTTAATTCGTTCAATATTAATATGTCCTCCTCTAAATATCCTATGCCACAGACAAAATGCAGTAGCCCGCTCTTGCAAGATCAAAGCGGAGGTTGTTTCGCAGCAGAGCATCGATCTCGGCCAGGACTCACGTTCTTCTTAGAGGTCATAGTACACATTCTTATCAACTATAACATTTAGACCTCATTGCCATCTGACAGATTTTTATTTTATCTGATCTACTTCTTATTATCAGAAGTGATTTCTCTACTTTCTAAGAGCTTTTACTGATAAAAGATTCTCTGCAAAACCCCTTTGTGCGGACGAACAAATCGTTGCGTTTCCAGCCAAACTTGTGGATGGCCCTGCCCATAACAGTTTCAGATTGGCCAGCAGAATAATTAGTCAAGGACGAGTGCCAATGTGCAGTTTTCCAGAGCAGGAATTTACAGCACCAAAATATCCTTACCTCTCCGCCGTATCGAAGAAATTGATGCCCACGTCCATAGGCCTTCTTCATGCATTGCAGAGTCCCCTCTAATAGGGTTAGCTATGAAATATCATCTTTAACATATATCTATGCACCAAACTGATTCACCTTCATTTATTACGTGGTCTGCCAAAGCTGCAGATGACATCAGCGCAAAAGTTGGCTACAAAATGAACTTCGGTTCACATACGTCAGCCACCCCCTCACCAGCGAGATTACAGAAACATAAAGGTCCTGAATTATCCACTTTACGGTAGAGCATTTCCGTATTCTTCTTTGCCTCAGCCATGGTAGTAATAGCCGTGGGCAGCAAAATCAGAACTATCAACCCGTCTAGCAGTAACAAAAGCCTCTTTTTTTTTTTTTTTTTCTTTTTATTTGCTTGATGAGGAAGCAAAAGAGCACAATAGGATAGAACACTCTACGGTTTGAAAGGTTGTTCAGTTGGTATGACATTTAAACTATGGCTGTCTCATATTAGTACGAAACAAGCTCGCCGGAGCATAGAATTGGCACCGGGAGTTCTTGAAACTATGGGCAGATGGCAATGGGCAACAGAACTTCCTGGAGCTCCTTAACTTTTCCAGTTCCATAAAAAATTGTGCCTGGGTGTTGATTATTCGCCCCGCTAATAAACACGCGCGTTTTATTGCGCATAATCCAGTAATTATTTGCTTGTTCTGCTAACTACAAAAGACGGTGAATTTCTACTTTATTTGGTATTTCGTTGTCCAAAAATTACACCACTTCTGTGCAGCGGAGAAAGAAAAACATCAGTAGCCCTGCTCTTTGGCTAGTTGAATAGTTAACTTAAATAAGAGGTGATTATTTTTTGAGCTGGGAACCGAAAGCCCCATCAAAACGCAACATCACAACTGCTTTGAGCTACCCCTCTTTCCCCTAATACTAAGAATATTTCGTACCTTTGTCCGCCGTCGCTGTAATTGTCCAAATTCCAGAGCAAAGCAACAGTTACAGAGCCAGTTCCATCCAAAATACACTGGCCGGTAAGCGGAGTCCGCCTAGTCCAATCAACATTCACATATCAAAACCATGCCGAACCAGGCACTAGAAGCCGATCACCACCCCGCCTCTGCCGCTGAACCTCTCCCTGCACACCTCAACCCAGCCAATTACCCACAAACCAAACACTTTCCGGACTCCAACATCTACCTAGAATTAACATACGACGCCCTCAACTCGACCAAGAACCTAGCACAAATCCGTTCTCCGCATGCTGGAGCAAACGTCCTCTTCCTCGGCACCACAAGATCAACGTTCGACGGCCGCCCCGTTGCCCGCCTCACATACACAAGCTATGCGTCCCTTGCACTACGAACATTGGAAAAGATCGCGCGTGACACCGTCTCGAAATACCAGCTGTTTGGGATAAGTATCTCTCATCGACTAGGCGAGGTGGCGGTTGCTGAGGAGTCAATTGCCATTGCGGTGAGCGCTGGACATAGACGTGCGGCATGGAGGGCTGGGGAGGAGGTGTTGGAGCAGTGTAAGGAGAAAGCGGAGATATGGAAACGGGAAGAGTTTGTCGGGGGCAGGGAAGGGGAGGGCGAGTGGAGGGCAAACCGCGATACGGATGGACAGGGCAATCCAGCAAGTGGGCGGTGAAATTCGCCAGCCGAACGGGGTGTGATTTTGGACATGTAGTGACTAAATATCGCTATCCGAATACCTACCTAGTCATAATTGCCGTCGATAATTACTCACTGTATACCAGTTACTAACTACGAGCTTGACCCGTGCTTCATCAGACGCTTGGCTGATCTGAGGCACTGCAGTCGAAGAGAGGGACAAATCTGCAGGCAGAAGCAGATAAATGGTCTCCGTTGCACTGACCAATCTGAATATGAAATTATTGAGGGTCTTTTCAATGGAGCAAGCAATTGCCTTTATTACTATCCTACTTTTCCCTATAGCAAGGCCCAAGAGTTCTCTTGACTCCGATTTCAAGCCCACCCTATGTATTATAGAGTACGTTTTAAATTCTTTTTATAACAGGATTTCACGGTCACGGGACCTTGCCAAGGCACCTTCTTGGCACCCATCTGAATATATTTTTAGAGACTATTCCTCGTTAATCTTTTGTAGCTTTTGAATAGAGCTCACTGATGATGTTTAAAAAATAAAATGACCTCAATTCTGCAAGATATGAAGTTATCATAGTCTCTGATAAAATGAGTCATCTGTTTTATGACAAAAAGAAGTATACAGCTTTCTATTTGATGCAATAAAACAGAAAAAGACTAATGTTGAAATAGGAGTTTCTCAAGAATCTTTCAGTCTCACTCATTTTACACATTCAATCTTTTCAAGAATAAGAATGTATATAGAGTAAAAACTTCTAGTTATGTTGATGATATAGATCTTGTGAAGAATAGATTGATTGATTGATTATAAAGTGATCACTAGCTACGCGGAAGTTATATACAGTGCAAATTATATAAAAAGGCGGATAGGCCTGACACCCTCACTCATCAATGTAATTGTACGCGAGATTACATACAAAAAATAGCTTGTAGCTAGGTATTGGTACATAATTTGACTGGAAAACCCATATTGTTGAAAAATCAGTCATTTCCTCCATATAATCATTTCTGCCTGCTTACTACATCTTCTAATATCTACTGTCATAGGATGTATCTAGTCACTTCAAGCGGCTTGATCAGCCTGCCTGCCATATTCTCAGTGAACAGAATGTAATCAATTGAGATTTTATTCTTATAGACAAGATTCTAAAGAGTATGGAAGTGAACCTCTATATGCTTAGATCAGTATAGAATAGTCTCACTTTTGATCAGTTCAATTGCTGATTTATTATCTGCCTGAATCATATACATCAGCTTATTAACTGATGATTTGATCAGACTATTATTATCATCAATATTATTAAGCTGAGATGACATAAAACCAGCATCCTCCAGCAATTCCTGAAGGCAGACAAGCTCATAGATGGTCTCTGAGGATGTGATATATTCAGCCTTAGTAGATGATTTCAAAATGCCTATCTGCTTGCTGCTTCACTAAGCAATGTGACCCACTGTCATATAAATGATATATTTGATAATAGAGTGGAAATTTGAATCATAGCCTGCTCAATCAGTATTAATAAACACTACAAGTTCTATATTTATGTCTTTTCAGTGGGACACACCTATGTCAGATATGCTTTGTAGATATTTAAGAATTTACTTGAATGCTGCTCAATTCTTCAAAATAGAACAAGAGCTGAATCTCTCTAAAAAGTCAGTGACAAAGCTTATATTGAAGTGTATATTGACAGCAAGATATTGCAAAGAGTCAATCTCTGATTGATAAAAATATAATATAAATTCTACTATATAAGTAATTAATTCTTTATTATCACTTATGAAATCAACATTCTTCTCCATAGAGGAGGATGTTGAGTGGCAGTCATTTATTGAGAATTTCTCAAGTAGGTTCTTTATGAATAGTGACTGGGACAGTGATAATAATTTAGCATCCTGATTGATCTTCATACTCAAATATCAATTTGATTTACTCACATTCTTGATCTCATAATTAGCAGTGATCTGGGCTTTTATTTATTCAATATCTGATATATTTAGGCTATATAGGTAAACATCATTTATATAGATGATTATATAGACCTTGTAGATATCATTTATGAAAAAACTAATATTATAAGAACTGACATGAAAGTCTATTTTCAATAGCATTTTTCACAACTTCTTATATTATAATAGTACTACTTGTTTCAGATTATATAGTCTTTGTATCAATTCACATACTAGATCACTGTGTTCTTTACAGAACCTGGTGAGTTAGTGCATATATATACATTTATTGATAAAAAGCCAGGTATTTAAGAATATTATAATTATGTTGATTTGCAGAATATACTATTCTCAGAATACTGAGATCATCATAAGTGCTCAAAAGATAGAGGCTAATACAACTGATGTGAATGTCTTTGAATAGTTGATACTTTTTTCTTGATAATTGCTGCAGACTACTCAGTGAGTCTTATATCAATCAATTTTACCCACATTATTAATCTTTTTGTTAAACACTCATTGATCACATAAAATCATCATATCTGAGGTTTTTTCAACTAGCTGCCATGCATCAATCTACTTAAGGCAGTTAATCTTCTTAACATAGACATAGAAGTAATATTTTCAATTTGTAGATATTTAAGCCCAGATAAGATTCTTTGAAACTAGTAAGCTGATAATCTCAGAGTTTGTGAGAATGTCAATCAAATTATCAGTGAAATCTTTTACTGAGATCTATTTCACTGAAGTAATATTCTCAGTGAGCATTAAAGAATTCTCTATCTCTAAAGCAGACTCTGAGAGAGCAGTAGTGTTTTGCATCAAAAATATCAGAATTCATGCAGTAATTTCATAGTCTATCTATCAATTATTTGTAGAGTATAAAAATACTGAAGAGGTAAATAGAAACTTCTCATTCATCATAAAATTATTTATTGATAAATTGTATTAAGTGAAGAGGATTGCAACTGCAGTTATATGAGCAGTGAAAGATAAATTCTTGACATCTTGCTCAGACAGAGCCAGAGAATCTGTTAAATAAAGATCTTTTTGAAATATCATATCTTTTAATATATAAAGATAATCATTAGAAGGATGAATCAATCTATAATTAGTAAAGTCATCATAGTCTATAAATATAAGCTTCTATGATTATAAAATCATCTTCATATTTGACTTGAATACTATTTTTAAATAAACCTTGCATCCTCATCAGTGAATTCTATATGTGAAGAGCAGAGTCTTGAGCTAAGATTTATATGAGATAATCAGCTTCAAATCTGAATCCTCTACACTATTATAGAGCTTGACTGATATTGATATAAGATTAAGCATTTCAATCACTGCAATTACCACTTTACTCTATATCTGAGAAGAGGAGAAGAAATTTATTAATAATATTTGAGCTTTTTCAATAATCAGATCAATAGAATGTTCAGACATATCATCTTGCTGCAGAGTGTGAAGCAAAGTTAGTTCTTATTTAATATTCTCACTCATCATATAGATAGCTATAGTGTTTGAATTTAACTCATTATGATCAAAGTGAATAATTGCAACACTGTGATTGAGCAGATTCTTCATAAATTAATTGAAGGTCTATATATATTTTAGAGTCTCATTGTAATACTTCAATAGAAAGGTTCATCATATTTGCATAGCATCATCAGTAATTATCATCATGAGCTTCTTATCTGCATAAGATGATATATCTTCTTCAATATCAAGCATTTCT